TTTCTTTTTTTTAGCTATTGAATTTAATAAAATTTTATTTTTATTTTAGTTCATGTTTTGTAATTGTTTTTTATTTTGATCATTAAATTTTTACTATATTTGATTTTTACCCTATAAGGAACTATTTTTTACTTTTAGTAAAACTTATTATTATGTTTTGGTTTTTATTTTGTGATCTTTCTTTTATTTTGATCATTAAAGTTTTATTACATTTGATTGTTATTCTTTCTACACTAAAATTAAATACAATTTCACCGTTTTAAGTTTTTTTTATTTTTGGCTTTTAGTAAAAAACATTTTCTTTTTTGTTTCTTATTTTATGATTTTTTTTTATCTTGGTCATTAAAATTCTATTATGTTTTACTTTTGTTCATGCCTTATGTATAATGAACTGTTTTTAGTCTTATTGTTTATCTCACACACACACAGAGATATATATATATATATATATTGGTTTGAGTGAAAGTTTTTTATTCATTTTGATCATTCTTTTATGATCTTTACGTTGTTTTGATCATTTACTTTTTATTGTGTGGAATTTTATCTCTATTTTTTTTTTGCTAGATTCTTGATTTGATAAAGCTTTTTTGTCTTTTTGTTTTGGGTTGTTTCTCTATCTCATTAATAAATTATAGATAAAGAATAAATGATAATAATTAATTATTTAAAATTCAAAAAACTACCACATCATTATTTTAATTATTAGTTATTATACATATTTCTAATAAAATACATGTTTATATAAAACAATATATAATTAGTAATATTATATTACTCAACTTTGCAGAGTTTTCATTTAGCTAATTCTATAGTAAAATATGAGATATAGGTTTTGTTTTTTTTTTTAAAAAAAAGATTTCGTATAATCCTTTTAAATAATTATTTTTAATTTTAAATTTTATATGAATGAGTATATAAAAATATTATATAGTTGACCCCGTAACAATCCGCGGGATATGTGCTAGTTAGGGATCTAATTGATAAGGTATTTTGTATTGGAACTCAGTCAAGAGAAAAAAAAAAACAAAAACAAAAACAAAAACTCGCTACAAACAGATAAGCCCGAAAACTCTGGAACGTTAACGAGTATCAAGGGAAAGGTCCATCGATTTAGAGTGAGCCCAAAAGCACTGCCACGCTGCCACGGTATCTTAAAGATGTTTCAAAGCGTATGATCTCCTTTGTGGAAGAATGATAGTAGATGAAATGAAAGGTGATTTTATTTTATTGTATTATTATTAAAAAAATTGAAAAAACGAAAAATGCACCCGAGTGATGAAAGTTGAGACAGTGTAACATGATTCTCAACGATTATTATTATTATTATTATTTTACCAGGCTCAGTGGTTGTGTTTTCCATCCACACGTGTGTGAAAAGTTTTTTCACTGCATTTTTTCGTAGTATTTGTATGTTTGGTAGAGGCTCCAAATTTTATGGCGGAGTGCCTGGAGACGGATGCTAGGGGAGTTGGTTTAATGACAATGTGTAAATTAGTTTTCATTTCGTGGCTGGGCCTTTGGTTCCTCCTACAACCAAAAAATAAAAGTAGTTAAATTAAAAGCTTGACCGTGGTGTGGAAGTTGCCTTAGGCCCTGTTTGGAGGAAGGGGTGTGGTGGGCTTTTGTGATTTTTGAGCCCTCCGTTCGGTTAGTTTTTTTGGAGATCGTATGGGTCTCCCATTAAAAAAGCTGAAAGTATAGGGACTTCGCTTTTTACCTTCTCAACTTTGGCGGTGGTTCTTTAATCATATTAACATTATAATTTTAAATATAATGATGCAAACACACTTTTAACAGTATATTTTACCAAATATTTTTTTCTACTGTCTTAACCACGATTAGAGCCTTCCATTAACGACTGGGAACAGAATCAATTTGGTTGGAGATTTTGGTGCCTTGCTTATATTAATTACCATTATTATAAAATCCGAAAGAACTATAGGCTTTTATTTAGGGATTATTTTAATCTTTGATTTTTTTTCACTCTCTACGTTTAGTATCGTTAGGGTTTTTAAGTTTTTTTTTCACATAAACAGTTGTATTAGCTTTGGAGTAGATGAACTTTAATTAATAAAATATGAGGCATTTTTAAGTGTTTGGTTACTTTTACGATTGTATTTTTGCATAACAAAATGAATTGACTAGACTTGCAGACATGGTGATAGCAAAGTTACGTGATAGAAGTTTTGTAGAAATTTATTGAGGTTCTAATGCTTTGGGCGTAGGTGCAAATAAATTTCAAGATTATGAGAATAACGTACTTAGAGATTACGTGGATTACCTAGTGACAAATTTAATCATATTTATCTCTACAAATCTACATAGGTGTAACGTATTTAGAGATTACCTAGTGGGAAATTTAGTGCCATATTTATCATTGCAAATCTACATAGGTGTAACGTATATGGAAAATTTGAGGAATTTTTTGATAGTTATGGCTGTGTTTTTTATCCTTGCAAACCTACGTAGGATTTTGAGGCATAACAAACCTCGTTATCACTTCATCCGCCGTATCAATTAATGCCAAACACTCCCTTAATATATATGGTTTAGGGTCTTTTATTCTAAATCGTCAATCTTTTATGAATTTTCGTTGGAGATGTCTTTTGAATCCAACTGTGAGAGTTAGAATCACACACACACCCTGAGAATTGTAAGGATGACAACATTTTTGTGATGTCGTTAGAATGACCACATAATGAAATGTTGACTTGGGATTTTTCAGCCCCATAAAAGGCCACTGCTATTGAGGATTGACACGTGCATTACCCCTTTAGTTTATCACCAGTCTTCAGTGATATCGAGTCAGCATCTCAAATGACAGCCGTACACCCCAGAGGAGTGGCTCCTGAGAACACAGGTGGGTTGGCTTTCTAGCTGTTAGCTACAAGATAGACAATGCGCTGTGTTCTCAGGTCACCCCTTTGGGGCACCCTGTTGACATGACATCGTTTTCTTAATCATCCACTGATTCTGCATATTCATCCCTTCTTCTTTATAATCTATGATTTATGTCAAGATCTAACATTACATGCTTATTTGTCTGTTCGAAGGAAAATGAAGTTGAGAATAATGATATACTGTCTCATGTTGCTTTCTCGCTGCAGGTTTAAAAGTCAACAAATTAATCAGCTAGCAAGTTTCGTAGCGTTGGGGTGCGAATAATCCAATAAATGTTTGGACACTGCTATTAAAACTGTTATGACTTTTTTTTTTTACTGGCAAAAAAAAAAAAAAAAAAAAAAAAAAACCTCTAAGTTGGAGATAGACTATCTGCCATGCGTACCACACACAGTAATTTGTTACATATGGAATGTTAAGAGTTAAATTTGTTTGTGGAGGTATTGGTCGGTAAATGTGCTTATTCTTCTTATATTATACAAGTTTGAATGCTAAAGAATGATGCTTGAAAAATAGTTTCTTGTAAAATTACCAATTTAAATAGAGATGGCTTATTTAAAATTCAATTAGCAAACAACTTATCTCGATACATATACAAAAGTTAAAATGATATATCATCAAATGGAGACCAAAAAAATAGTATTACTAAATTCAAAATATTTATTTGAGAACAATATCAAATTATTTTTGAGACTTAATCCAATAAGTTAAGTTTTAGAATTGAGAAATCCAAACTGTGATAATAAAAAAGTCATGATTTTGGATCTTTCTACTTTTTATCTTCATGGAGAGTAATGGGATGTTGATGCCGTGAGCTAAAAAGGAAGAATTTTTCTTGTTATTGATGGTTTATCCATAATCATATACAAAAAAATTTAATCGACTATTATACTCTTAATGTATCACTAATATTTCAATATTAATAACTAAATTCAACCCACCTATAATTAACAAAAAAGGACTGTAAAATTATTAAAATAGTTATTAATTAAAAAAGAGGCTATTTTCTAGAATGAATGCTAAAATTAATGTCGATTAACCCTGTTTTTTCTTTATTTTTATTTATCTATACACTACATAAAACCTTAAATAACATAAAATAAGATACTTAAATCACTCTAAAATATATGGTAATATATTAATACTTTATTTTGGCTATTAAAACTCTCAAAAGACTTAAAGCTAATAAGAAATGCAAAGTTTTAAAATCCAAAATTACTAATTTACATCAAAATTCATCAGATTATTAAACTAAATCCCTATTTATTTATTTTTCTTATATTATTTTTATACCTTTTTGGACATACACTAATAATATTGAAAAAATCTAGATTTATTATAAAAATAATTTATAAAATTTCTATCCATTTATTTATTGTTAATTTATATTCATGTTACATATTTTATATAATTGAAAATAACTATTTAAAATAAAAAAAGGTTTATAATAATATAATGTTAAAAAATTATTTTAGTAATTATTATTTGCAAGAGTTATATATTTATCATTAAATTCTGAAAGATATCTGCCCTTAATTTTTACTTAAGTACAGATTAAAAATATTTTATATGGTTAATTTTTAATTTATGTCCCTAGTTAATTTAATTATAATTTTCAAAATTGATATAAAATTATTTAAAAATCAAACATCTTTCTAATAATTTTAAACTATCTATTATAAAAGTAAAAATACTATAAATTATTTTAATAATACATGGTGAAGCACGTATTAAAAATCTATTAAATAAAAAATAGACCAATTAATAGGTCGTTTGTGCCTTTACGAAAGCAAAAATAATAAGTTATCCATTTCGAGTTACATATTTATCAGTTTTTTCCTAAAATGTATTCACTTATGTAAAGATTTAAAACATGGTGTGTGTTTGTATTTGTATCATTATTTTTTAAATAATGGAGGTAAAGTATATACTATCCATTTTTCTTGCTTTTTCCATATAAAATCATGTACCCTTCCTCTTTCGGCCCAGTGACTGGTCGTTCCTTTTCACTACGACAATTTCTCTTCCATCGCTGCAAGCGCAAGACCTAAGACCCCAAAACCCTTAAAAACCCCATTAAAAAAACCCGAAACTTCGACATGGACATCGATCCTCCAAGTCAAATCAAAGACAAAGACCTTTTCAAGGCAGCAGAGACAGGCGATTCTTCCACATTCAAATCCCTTCCACCAGAACTCCTCTCCAAAGCCCTCTCTCTCCAAAACGAGGACGGCCGCTCTCTCCTCCACGTCGCCGCCTCTTTTGGACACGCCGAGGTAATATAAACTACTTTATTGACCAGAGATATGATATTTTTCGATTCATTAATTTATTTGGCAGTGAATTTGAGTTTGTTTTTGTGGTGTTGGAATTAGGTGGTGAAAATACTGTCAGATATTGATGAATCAAGCAGCGTAGTAAATGGCAAAGACGAGGAAGGTTGGGCCCCACTTCACTCTGCTGCTAGCATTGGAAATGTTGAAATTGTTGAAATTCTGTTAAGCAAAGGTAATATGAATTTCTCAATTATTGAGTAGGAAGTAGGAACTGCTTGTCTCTAAGAAGTTTCTCATTTTAATAATAGTTGAATGTTACCTAATAGGAGCTGATGTTAATGTGAAAAATGACGGTGGCCGCGCTGCTCTTCACTATGCTGCTAGCAAGGGATGGTTGAATATTGCTGAACTTTTGATGTCGAGTGGTGCAAAGATTAATATCAAAGACAAGGCTTGTAACTTCATGCATCTATTCTTTAATCTTATATTAGTAGTACATGTGCACATTATGTGCTGATGGGTCGGTTCAAAAGTCAAACAGATTCTCCTCTAGCTTATGTGCTGTGCATGATGCATTTTAGGTTGGTTGTACTCCATTGCATCGAGCAGCGAGTGTGGGAAACTTGGAGTTGTGTGAACTCTTAATTGAGGAAGGAGCAGAGGTTGATGCTGTTGATAAAGCTGGTCAAACTCCTCTCATGTATGCAGTGATTTCCTATAACAAATCGGTATGTTTGATCAGAATTACTTGAGAAAGAGATGTTTACATTTTATGATGAACTTAACATAACGCACTTGTTACTAACTATAAAGCTTCTTTCGTTCTTCACCTGGCTAGTGATTTGTAAATATCTTTTTTGGCTTTCTCTATCCCTCATCTCAATCAGCGCTATTAAGCATACTGGGCTTCAGCTATGTTTATACCTTCGTTATTGTATTAATTTTTATCTTGTAGGGTTTGGTAGTAGATGGTAAACTAGAAGTATCAAAGAAAAGGAAGTTAGGGAGATGGAACTTTAGTGAATACATTTTTTTTTCATTTAATGCTTTCCATTTTATTGTCTAATCTCTGTATTTGTGAGATTTTCATGCCTAGAGATTAGAATGGTTCTGCCTCTTTTTCTTTCGTCTTCTTTTTTTTTTTTAAAAAATAAATACTGAAAAAGCTCTGCAGGCAGCCTTGTCCTTCATAATGGAGGACATTAAAGGAAGATTGAGATTGGTTTGGCCAGTCAATCCATTAACATGATATTGTCAGTTACTCTTGTTTCAAACGTCTCGTTGAGCAAGTCCAGCAAGCCACGACAATATTTGTACATGATATCAACAGATTAGATTTAACCCATGAATAGATTACACTTGGTTCAATAAACTATATGGTTGAATCAGAATCAGGCATTGCTGATTCCTTTAGATTTCTACATTTCAACTTTCTTCTCGTGGTCATTTTAATGGCAAGTTATCTTACCTTACGCTTTGTTCTTATGTTGACTATTTGTTAACTTGTCTATGCCAAGCCTCTTGTTGCTTAAAATCGATTCAAGAGCAATCTTTGATGTTATTTAAGACAATCTTAGATTGTACTTTTTTTTTTTTTTTTTTTTTGGTTATCATTTGAAAGCCTATAAAATTTTGTTTTGTTGGTAGGTCGCTCTCCTTCTAATTCGACATGGAGCAGACGTAGATGTGGAAGACAAGGAAGGATACACTGTGCTTGGTCGAGCTTCAGAAGACTTTAGACCAATTCTGATTGATGCTGCTAAGACTATGCATGAAGGATGAGTTTTTGGATGAGCTCTAGGATGGAAGTTGTTGAATTTGCTAAGTAGGTGGGTTGTGCATCTTGAAGAAAAGTATTTGACGATGACTCCACTTGCATCTAACCAGAAACATAGAAAAAAGAATTTGACAGTCTTACAGCAGCCTAAATTACCACCCACCATCGTTCAGACCATTTTTTGTTTTGTAGATTTTCTGGTTATGTTTTCCGCAGATGAGAGTTGCTGTGTGGTAACTGCTGTTTGTGGTTTGGTACAAGTTTTTTACTGTTCCTATTTTTTTACTTTTTGGTTTCTGTGAATTTACTTGCCAGTCAAAAAATGAAAGTGGCACTTAGAGATCCATCACACCTGAAAATTCTAGGCAGGGCAAATTAGCAAAAACTACAAGGAAAGTGTTGGAGGAGATTGATTGATGGAGCATTTGAATTCAAGAACTGCACTTTTTGCACGAATTATTGTGTTTGAGCAACAGTGTAGATTAAGCTTGGATCTTGCAAAAATGCATGTTACATCTTGTGCATTCGAGATCCCAGGATTTGTGCAACAAGTCACAGTCTGTGCATTATTGAGATGCAGGATATGGTGAAGATGCAATTGCTATGACCATCCAATTAATTCATAATTTGTTGGGCACAGGATAATGTGTTTTGCTTCCCTTGTTAAATTTACTAAATATGCATTTCTACAATGTCCTGTGTGTTACGTTCTAAACTACATTACAACTTTATCCGGACGGATTAAGTTTATTTCCCTCGTAATGCCATACAAAAGCCATAGATGCATATTGTGCCCAAGCCATTCATGGAGCGTTGTCGTGTCTGCTTCAGAATCCCTGTGAAGCAGCTTCGCTAAATGGACTAGCTTCGTTGCAAATCCCAAAGGGAAAACCTGAAATTTGACCATCCTCATCTGACATGTCACATTCTAATTGGGTAAAGAAGAATGTCAGAATGGTATTTCCTATACACTAAACTCGATCCCTCATGTGAACCAATAACTCATTGACACGAAAGCTTTCTTATTGAATTTCAGTGTGGTTAATATCGACCGTTTGTTACCTTCCCTTCCTCTCCTCTCCTCTTACAAGTTATAAAGCCTTATCTCTCCCTCAAAACTCAGACTGAGGGAGAGAATGAAGACCCTCTCTCAACCTCTCTTTCAGATTTCATCCGCCAAATTCGTAGTCTGTGAGAACCCCAAGATCAGCCATCGAAAGAGAATAGAATCAACTGTCGAGTTCAATGAGAAGCCGAAGAATTTATCTTGGTTTGCTTCTTTGCCATCTTGCCAAGTGATTCACAAGTCTCTTCCTTTGGTTGTTTCAGTATCTTTGCTTCTCTCAGCAAGTCCCGGTAATTTTTTAAACCAATTTGTTTTCTGCTCCTGGTGTTTTATGTTTTTTTCTAGCTAGCAGTATTCTGACCCTTTTATATGCTTGCAAAATTTTTTTTATGATGACATGCAACATTTGATTGTTGAAAGCATTGTTAATTCTTGATCCATTTCATGGCAACTCTACTTGCTTTTGTTAGTCATGTACGTTATGTTCTAACTTTTCTTCAATCGTAGATTTTGTTTTTGGCGGTTCTTTGTATCTAATCCGGGTTCCTCATTCCCATCCTTTTCTTCTTTCTTTTTTCCGACAATTTTCACCTAAGTGTTGAGTATTGACAAGCATATAGTTAAACGTCCAGTTGAATTGATTGAAGCGTGCAAAGGATTAGACACTTTATTGATTTATTTTTGTCTGTTAAAAGTCTTGTTTGCAAACTTCTGCTAATTAACATAGAAAGTTGGGAATCCTAATGCCTAGAGTCGAAAACAAAATATTTTGGTTAGAGATAATTCTGATATCACGCTAATCTGTACTATTCAAAAAGCTCAAACTGTCAAAATCCAATATAATAGTATTATATCTATCAATCCAGGGGCGAAGCTGCAGCCAGGACGAGGTGGCAATTGGCCCCCTTAAATTTTGGGTTACTTACAATTAAAATAAATCATCAGTGACTTTAGTTTTGGCCCCATGTCCAATTGCAATTGTCATTGCAGCACATCTTTAATTCTCTATTAGTCCATTAGTTGGTTGAGGAATTTTGATTCTTTTTGGCATTTAATATGGGACGTTGTGAAAAATTACTGCCAATCCAGAGTATGACTGATCGTTTGTGCCTCTGGGTTTTGCAGCTAAAGCTGGAATTATGTCGGGATTTCCTGGATTAGAATCTATCCCAGGCCCCCAGTTACCTCAAATTGACTTTCTTAACCGTATCAATGGTCTGTTCTCTTGTAGTATTTATATTTTAATTTCGAAAATTTTTAGTTCTCTGACATGACAACCTTTTTTGCAGTCTTAAAATTAACTGTTATTCTTTTGCAGAAGAAAACCAGAAAAAGTACGCAGAAGCTGACGCGAAATTCAAATCATCTCCCATTCTCAAGGAGCTGCTTGAGCGATCCAAGCTGAAAAAAGAAAAGTAACTTAAAAGTAGTTTTTAATTTGGTTTCATGTCTATTGATATGGCGTGCTTCAAAATTTCTAATGAAGCTAAAAGTGGACGGGCTCTGCATGAGCTTGAGAGCTAGATATGTCATGCCATACCCTTTTTGCTAGTAAGGATAAAGTTAAACCTCCGAGTATTGGACTTTCAAATGTAAAGAATGGCCCTTTTGTGCAATCTTCATTCTACTTTAGTGGAAAGAAGATGATGGAAGAAATAGAGAGGAACTGCTCCACTCACTACTAGTACTGTTATTTAGAAGTGAATTTTTATGACAAATGAGTCAGGGAGCAAAGCGGCAGCATGTTTAGAACCTGCTAGGCCTTATCATTTTAGCAGATTAGATTTCTATGTATCAATACTTAAGATTACACATAAATTTATCACGGGCTACTAATTTTTTTTGTTGTTGTTATGTTATGTAATCTTCAGAAATCGGCAAGAAATTCAAGACAAGTATTGCCTACGTGGGGCAGAATGGGGTGTTGGAGATTGTTCAGCAGAAGGCATGTCACCAGAGGATAGAGAAAACTTCATTGCTATGCTAAAGCAGAAGGCAGGAATGAAATAGATGAAGCCATCAATTTTAGTGACTGCTTTTCTTGGACTAGTTTTGTTCTAGTTATTCTTCTAAGGATTTATGGTTTAGATATCTGTTTTCATATCGTAACATTATCAGTAGCAGGTTTTTGGATTACTCCAAAAAACCACTAGCACTAGCTTTTTATGTTAAAATTCCAGTTGATTTGATGAAATAATATTTGACAGAGCACGCATTTAGTTTTTTAAATTAGCTTCTAATCAGAACGCTGGAATCTGGATAGCTGATATTATCAGGCAAAAAAAGGTCGGGTTGTTAAAAGTTTTGGAATATTTCCCCATTTTTACGACAAATTGTCCCCGTTTTCACAGATTGCTAAAGACACAAGTTATCTCTTTCCATAATGGATCCACTGAAGCCCATCCAAACTTTGAAACCGATTAATTTTCTGGTTATTTTTTCCGTTCTTAATAAAAAAAGAATTTTCCCATTTTTAACTCTTATACAAAAGAAAAGATGCTCCATTGCTATTGAATAATCACTATTGAGATGTTAGTTAATGTGGTAAATGAGTTCTTTTTTCTATTATTTATTACCTTTTATCCGAATTCAAAAAGAGTGTGTAAATCAAAATTTTCATAAGTATATTAGTTTAGATGTGAAGATGTATATAAAATTTAATAAGAGGGCAATATCAATATTCGTTTCAATGCATATGTTAGTACAATAATATTCTCACCTATTAAATAATTCTTCTATCTTATGGTCCGTAACTTTTCAATTATCCCTTACATATATCCTTTTGGTCAAATTTTGCTAAGATTGTTTAGAGGAACCAAATACAGTAGTCGATAAGAATATTCCTACTTTTGCAAGATTCGAACCTGACCCAAAATTGATGGCTTTAAATGGAATTGAGAGAAAGATGAAGGGGTGACTTTGATACATATGAAATTTGACGCGAAGCCCCACAAAAAGACAAATGATGAGAAAATTTCAATTTTAACCTCTCATTCGGTGTTTGTCTGGCCAGATGAGCTCTGCAATTTGCAAAGCTCATCAAGCCAGCAATCGTAACTCTCAAAATAATAATATAAAACAAACACAACGCAGCACTAGATGATTGATTAACCCAATAAATAAAAAAATAAAAATAAAAATAAAAACCATTTCCAATCCCTAAAAGGTACGTAAATTTCTCTCCTCCCAGATTCATTTCCTTTCATATTTTCTTGTCAGAGTCGATTATTATGTCTCCATTTTTGTCGCGAAATTCAAAAATTAGGTTATCAAAGCACAAAACTCGACTCGGAGGTGACATTGAATGTCTCTTTTTTTAGCTTCTATGCTGTTTGTTCCTATTAATTGACTTAATTAAGCCAACTAGTTGAATTGGATGGATAGAGATTGAGGATTTTCTTCTGTTTTGTTAGCTATCATAATATTAGTATGAATTGTGTAATTGGGCCACAGGTTATGCGATGTTATTGAATTTTTATTACAAACTTTTTTTAAGGATTTTAATGGTTTAAAATGCAAAGAAAAATGTGGTTATGTCAAATTTTGTTAATTTTGAAAGATTTTTTTTTTCATTTATCCGCGTATGTGATGATTTGGATTTTGAGTTTGATTCAATGTTTTTTTCTGTTTCAGGGGAATTATTTGATTAGAGTGATTTTGTGTTCAAAAATTTAAAGTGGGTGGTTGTTGGGTTAAGCAGCCCAACAACTTTAGGAACTGAGATTTTAATTGGTAGCTACAGAAAATGTACCAACGGGTGCCAACAGCTGTAACAACCCGTGGTGGGTCGCCTACTGATAACGGGGATTCAGTTGTGACTTTGGATCAAGTTCCGCGGTGGAGTGATGCAGAGAGTAGATCTTCGTTCAGTTATGACAATGAAGACCCTTCATTTTCAAATCCGTATTTCCCTGATCCTTTAACTGCGCCGTTTGAGGGGGAAAGTAGTAGCTATGGGATGGTATCGAGGTTTCCAATTGATCATGAGATCAACTCAAAGATATATTTATGGAGGGGACACCCTTGGAATCTTGAGGTGGATGCTGTTGTGAATTCTACAAATGAGGTGAATGATTTGGTTGAACTGCTTGAGCAATGCTATCTTAGGAACAGATGATTGTTTACTTTTACCTTATGTGCCAAAGTGATCTATGGTTATATAAATTTGACATCTATAGTTAGAAAGTGAAACGTTTGAGGAAACCTTTTCTACATTTACAACTGGTTTGGATAGCTATATGTTAGTGCAGTTTCGTTTTCGGTAAACCCTAATACTCTATGGGACTATAATCCAAGGGTGTCCACATTCTGTACAATAACATATGAATTTTAGAACCTGCAATCTGAAATTTTTTGTTCCAAACCTTCTCTTTTTGGATAATGGAAAATCTTTTAAGCTTCTACTGCACCTGATATAATATGAGACTTTGAGTACCATAATTATTTTCTCTTTGTCCTCTGTGGACGACTTGATCTATGAGCAATATGCTCTGCTGCTGATGTCAAGAGAAGTTGTTTTACTCTCTACTTAAAGGGAGCACCAAGCCAATTCATCATCTCATCTTGGTGCATCCAACACTAAGTTGCGTGCTCCAGTGTGAAGATCCTTAGTTAATTGAATTGCTGTAGCATTTCAACCGTCTTTGTATATATATGTATATATAATTGAATTGAATTAAGCCTTTGTACAAATATGAACACCAATAAAGGGAACCAGCAAGTCACTTAAATTATCACTAATATGCTTCTAATTGATGATTTATAGAATCTGGACGAAGCACACAGCAGTCCTGGTCTGCATGCAGCAGCTGGACCTGGTCTTGCAGAAGAATGCATGACACTGGTATGCTATCAATTATCTGCTGCTAATATTTGAATATTTTCATTTGATATGGAGGTTATATGTCATGTTTATGAGCAACAGTTACAGGGATTTTTAACGATCCATACATCATATATATATGTGTGTGTGTGTGTGTGTGTGTGTGTGTGTGTGTGGTTTTATCATGCGAGGATACTTGGCAAAACAAATTTTACTGCACAAAATCTGTTTTCATATTTTGATTCAAATCTAGACATGCTCAAAGCTTTTGTAGTTTCTAAATTTAGCTTGTTTGATTATTAGGTCATTTTTATGGAGACAAGATAATACAAAAGTGGGACTGACTTGATCTGCATTTGTGTGTCAGGGTGGATGTCGTACGGGCATGGCAAAAGTTACTAATGCATATGACCTTCCTGCTAGGTATGTATGCAGGCAAGTTCTACTTGTTGTTAATGAAGCATTAATTTATTATTGCATTATATCACAAAAAATCCTTGCTCAAAAGCCATGTTTGATGACTTCATTCTCGTTTCAGTCTAATCTTGTGTTCATCCTTCAAAAGGCATGCTCGACGACTCATGTCTACCATAACTTACATATTGCACTCCGTGTTTACTCTCCATTTTTTGTCCTCAATGTTTTGTTTGCTATTTGTTGCATTACATTAGGTTTTCTTTTTGGTAGCTTTAACTCATAGTAGTGGTTTTTTTTTTTTTTTTTTTTTTTGAATGGAAGCTAATGTTTTGTGTAATGTCATGCTAGGAGAGTTATCCATACTGTTGGTCCTAAGTATGCAGTGAAATATCATACCGCCGCAGAGAATGCTTTGAGTCACTGCTATCGCTCTTGCCTTGAGCTTCTCATTGAGAATGGCCTTCAAAGGTTGTTACTCCATTTGTTTCTTTTATTTGCTCATTTATTGTGCTTCTATGATTTTCAAAGACATGGAGCTAACTTTTACTTGACATACAATGCAGTATTGCTGTGGGGTGTATATATACAGAGTCTAAAAACTATCCACGTGAACCAGCTGCTCATGTGGCTATAAGTGAGGAATTTTCCTTTCATTGCAGTTATTTGTTTAGCTCTCTAGTGCTCTTTGTGCAATGCTAATATCAATCTAGGGATTTTTTTTTCCGAACTCCTAATAAATTGAAATAGCCCATCTATTTGAAGCATCGGAGAGGATTTATTTTATGCTGCTGAAATAAGATAATGCCTTGCACATCATGTACATGAACTCGTGCATATATTCCCACATCTATAAATATATATGTGTGTTTCTGATGATGTCTGTGTTTGGATAGCCAAATGTTTCTTATGCGATTCACTGTCATCTAATTTGATTTTGTGTTTGGTTTTTTCAGGGACTGTCCGGCGTTTTCTTGAGAAGCAGAAAGATAAGATTACAGCTGTTGTTTTTTGTACTACCACATCAACTGATACTGAAATATACAAAAGGTACTTCTATATTGATGTTCCTTTCTGTTGCCTTATAGATGCACAAACGTGCGCAATCCAACTGAATTTGAGTCTTAGCCCAAACTAGTTAGGGCAAGATGCACATTCGGTCATTTCTTTAAATAATATGGCTATGCCTGAACTGTGACAATTCATGTTTGTTAATTTCTTTTTTCTATTCTAATTACTATTTTGTAAGGATTCCATCAGCTGTGGTTATTATTCCTTTTACCATTTTCCATTGTAGATTGCTTCCACTGTACTTCCCTCGAGATAAACATGAAGAGGAGGTGGCCATCTCAAAACTTCCTGCTGATGTTGGGGATGAGAATGGTGAGACGATAATAGATGAACGCAAAATCAGAATAAAGCCGTTGCCCAAGAAAAATATTCCGAGACCTCCCCAACCTCCAGCTGACATTCCTGTCAGTGATGTTGGCTTGGCTCGAAGGTTAGTTGACTTAATTGCAATACAAAAGTAAACATTCTTGTCTGTGTTGGTTTCTTTTTCTTGTTTAAGATGGTCACTTTTAAGTTTGGATCGTACTCTTTATTTCTTATTGTTTGATAAATGTGAATATTTGTGTTTGGAATGACAGCATAATGGCTAATGTTCTCAGGATTTTCTCAAAAAGAATGTACTCATTTATGAAGAGTAATCTTATGCTGTGGTTCTTTGAATATGACACTCCCAGACACACATGCTTATCTGATCAATATCGCTTCATTTCACAGGAATTCATCATACTTGGATTCGTATTTGGATCCTGCCTTCATGTCCTTAATTAAGGATCCAGATCAGAGACGCAAGGAGCAATGGGAAAAAACTGCTCAAGCACAGAGTGGATGGAATTGTGCCAAAATGCTTGGATTCGGCGATCTTGGAGGCCCTTCATTGTCTGCTGCTGAAGAATATTCTCTTCATTCAAGATACCTAGCTAAAGCAAATTCTCTTAATCTCTCTGAAATTGCAGAGATGAAAATTGTGTAAGCATTTATACATCTTTATTTGCATCTACTTGAGAATTAAAATCTGATTTTGTATCTATACATCATTCAAGATGCCTAGCTAAACCATTCAATTCTTTTCTTTGAAAGTCAATTGTTTAAAAGTCTGATTTTCCGTTGCATAATTTGATTCCTGTTAAATCAACACAATTGGTGTAACATTCATTGGTTGTGGCTGTTAATTATATTGTTGCAGCCACAATGTTCAGATCTTCTCACTATGAATTTGTTGGCTATATAACCTTTTGTGTGAATTTCATTTCCTTCATTGTACAGCACTTTCATTCATGCTTAGTGTTCATAACCTTGGATGCATATGACTCAGTTTAGATAATTTCTTGCTACTTTAGTTACCGTGGTGGGGTAGATAGTGAGGGCCGTCCTGTAATGGTGGTTGTGGGAGCACATTTTTTGCTGCGATGTCTTGATCTAGAGCGATTTGTGCTTCATGTGGTAAAGGTAATTCGTTTACCTAGCTTATTGTTCTCATTTATCAGCTTATTGATCTTGGACAATGCTCTCTTCAGATATCCTTATTCTGATCCTGTAATAAGTTTCTTACTTTTTATCTGGCTGTTGGTTTAGTATTATCTTGGTTGTTAATTTCAGGAATTTGAGCCCTTGATACATAAGCCTTACACGATTGTATATTTCCACTCTGCAGCGTCTTTGCAACTGTGAGTATCGTATGGCTGACTTTCTGAACTACACACTTATGTTTGCTTGAAATTTTGTCTATTCAATGGATGATATGTTGTTCAATGAAGCTAATAACCAAGGGGAAGATTTGAAACTTTTGGCAGTTATGTTTCTGCTCAATTCCGAATTTTGTTTTCCTTCCTTATTTGTTCTAATAATGGGATCCCCTTATTCAGTTGGACGTGATGTTGTGAATCTTGGCTGGTTTATAATTTTTTTGCAAATTCCAGTTTTCTGAAACTTATCAGCTTTCCTCAATTTATATGTGCCCACTTCTTTGATAAACAGCCAACCAGACTTGGGATGGATGCGAAGACTGCAGCAAATACTTGGCCGGAAACACCAGCGAAATCTGCATGTATGCAATATGCACATAATCTAAACTTTCATAAATGAATATAATTGTGTTATTACATTTGATCTCCTCGTCCACCATGCAGGCAATTTATGTTCTTCACCCGAATTTCCACCTGAAGGCCACAATTTTTGCTCTGCAAGTATTTGTTGATAATGTGGTATGTATTTTTGGTTGAGTTTTTGTGGATTAAAATATGAATCTATTTTGCAAGTTTACTGCTTGAATTTGACCTTTAGACTTGGAAGAAGGTGGTATACGTCGATCGGCTTCTGCAGCTGTTCAGATATGTTCCTCGTGAGCAGTTGACGATCCCCGACTTTGTTTTCCAGTTGAGTTTTCTGGTTCTTTTACAGTTCATCTTCATCTATCTTTAACTATGACACAGACTTATGGTAAATATAGAAGGCAATTTAGCTATTCACCTGGTTATTTATGTTTTAGCCTTTAGCATTTTGATGCTGTAGATGCTTACCTACTGGCCTCAAAATGCAAAGAAATGGCAAACATAACTTTAGTGGGTGTATTGTCCAAACCAGTTTGAAATTTTAATTAAGATAAGGTTGTTTATAGGATCAATTCCTGTGCCATCTATTTGTGGTCCCGTCATTGTATATCGTCATCTTGGTCTACAGTTGCAAGGATGGAATGGACAGAGGAAGTTGCTTATAACCTAAATTATTGATGTGATGAATGCAGGCATGATTTAGAAGTGAATGGAGGAAAGGGTCTTATTGTGGACCCCAGAACAAAATATGTGTACCATCGGCCGTAGGCATTAGAGATACAGTTTCGTCACGTGATTTTGCAAGTCAGATTGTGTTTTCTTCAATTATCTTCCCGTCCTTCTCCGAAGGTGCATTTGATGTTACCTCTGTACAAATTGTCTCAGTTTTTTTCTTTTTTTTGAAAAAAAAAAAAGTTGGGGTTGCATCTGGTGTTGAAAAACATGTATAATAGCATGCCATTTGTTTATTTTATTTGTTGAGCAATGATTGTTTCTGAAGATGGAAATAAAAGCTAGTTCGTCTTGTGTTGTCTTTGATTCTCAATAAAACGTATGTTGGTTGAGCTTTCCTGGAAGCTGGGTAAATTTGCTGTGTAACATGGTTGTATTTTCAGATGCAAAGTAGAATCCGTTTGACAAGATCTATGAAGAATAGCTTTATAACCGAAAGCTATTCTTCATAAATAATTTATGAAAAAAAATGATGAGAAATGATTTAAAGCAATATTATTATTATTATTATTTGAAAAAAGAAGATATAAATTAAATTGAAAAAATGAAAAGTTAAAAATTTTTATTTAATTTTGTAACAGTCTTTAAATTTAAGTTAACAATTATAACTAAATTTGATTTTTTTTTTTTTTTTGAAGTTAAAATTATTTAAATTGATGTGCAAAACCCATGCCAAACAACCTGTAAGTTCATGGACGGTTCAAAAGTAGGAGGACTGAAAATGGATTGTTTATCTCAAACTATATTCAATTCAATCTTTTTGTCGGTGAATCAAATCTTCGTTGTCAATGAGCAGAACCCAAACATCACAAGCTTCTTTATGGCGCGGGGGGTGGTGGTGGTGGGAGGGGAAGGCCGACGCCTCAACTAAGGATCCAGTTCAAAGTCCAGGGAGAAGTAAGAATAGGGCATCCAGCCCATAGAGGACCCAATAAGCAAATACACTAAATTCCACAAATCAATCCATCTCAAAAACTGGAAGCCCTTTAGAGGAGTGAGTATTAGCCTTCATTCAACTTCAGAAGTTAAAGGATGTTTCGGTCAGTTACTTCGCCGAAAAGGGCCAAACCTCACATGAATTTTAATGTATTTGAAAATTAAATTAAATTTTCAAATTTGTGTTTTAATCTTTTTTTTTTAGTTTATTTTTAATTTTTCTGTCATTTATCTTAAAAAAATAACAATTATATAAATAATTTTATGATAGAAATCATTTATTGAGATTTATATGGAACTTTCCAAAAATTTTGAAATCATTCTAGATTATTTTTTATTTTTCTTATTTTTTACAATTTTAACATTCAAAAAATAATCAAATATGATTCTTGATATTAAAAAAATTTGGAATTTTTTTAAAAAATAGATTGGATTTTTTTCAATGTGTTTGCAAATTTTCAAGTCAAAATACCAAGAATTAATTTTTTTAAAGGAGAGAAGTGATAGATGAAAATCATGGGATATGTTAAATCTTAAAAAAAAAAGATCAGAAATTTCAAAATACAAATTAAAATTTTAGAAATTGATTTTCAAATGAATTAAAATTTAAGAAAAAAATTGATCTTTTAACCTAATTTTAATTCAAAATAGTTACAGATGATCATATTGCTTCGGGTTATTATATGTTTCTTTATATATATTTCTGTTTATATTGTCCAATTATATTATGTCCTGTGATATTGTGGCTTAGGGTTTTATATTTTATTTTATTCTCGTATATATATTGATTTATTCAAGTATAAAAAGCTATGCAGTGAAGTTTATATATACAGAAAAATCCTTTCATCACTTCCCCTTGAATTCTCTATCAACTTAATAATTTTATACACTTGATCAACAATCAGACAAACAAAGTGCTATTATTATTATTATTATTATTTTATTTTTCATTTTTTTGCAGTTGAAATCTTCATGTTATAAAACCATCCCAAGAAACTCTTTCTAATCCGATAAAAAAACATGAGGTTTTCAACATTCCTTTACTCACTGCAATGTGGTATTCTCACAAAATGAGGATTTGAGCTAACTACTTGATGATCATTTTTGTCTAATATACTTTGAACAACAAGATAAAAGAAAAGAGTTTATGTTATCAGGAATTCGACATAGTTTTACCAATCCAATTCTAACATTACCAAAAAACTAATTTCACTAATTAATTTGAGTTGGATGTTGGATAGAAACATCTTTCAAATCAAATTACTATTAATATATATAGACAAAAAAAAAAAAAACAGTATTAATTAGGTAATAAGATATAATTCAATTGCTATTAGTGTTTTTCTTCTCTCAGGAAGTCTCAAGTTTGTATCTATATCTTTTAAGAGCTTATTACATAGTTGGTGTGTGAACTTTTTAATTTTTTTGGAGAATAATCTGACTTTTTTTTTTTTTAATTTCAACAAATCATATTTATTTTTATTTTATTTTAAATTGAATATATTGTTATTATTGTTTGTTATTTTCATTTTTTTATTTTATTTAACTTGGTCAAAATATGGCTTATATAAGATTGCAAAGTAGATATTTATTAGATTTAAAATTAATAACAATTATCGATAAATTTTTAAAATTACATACATTCAAATAAAAAAATAAAAATACAAATACTCAATAAAAAATAAAGTAAATTATTTAACCGCAATAGTCTTCCAAAATAAATAAACAACAGAATTTACTTTTATTTTTATACTATCATGTCTTTTTAACAAAGATGCCTTGAGAGAAATGGACCGAACATATCAAATTTGGGCCACGCAAGTGAATATTAAATTTGCACGGATACATATTACTTTGTGCTCAATTAATTAGGAGAGAAACGAAAGTGTTGAGATTTGAACTTGTAACCATTTGATCATCAAAGCTCTCATATCATATCAAAGGATCGTCTCATCTAAAAACTTAAACTCGTTATGTGAGATTTTTGGATATAATTTATATTATTTTCTAATAAGTAGAAATGTACCAAGTTATAGTAGGAGTACCGAAGGGAAACAAATTCATCCATTTAGTCCTGTAATAGACATTACCCAATCTGATTGGATCAAAATTTTATTTAGAACCAAAGAAAGTTGGACATAAAAAAATGGAATTACTACTATATATTAGACCCAAAAAACAGCAATAGTTAAGGTAATCAATTGCTTTACTGTTAGGATTGGAAGGATTTGAATTCTGTGAGTTTCATGTTCATGGCTTATGAATTATGAACTAATAGTAATGAGTAGTTTGACACTCTATCTTCGGATTTTGTATAGTTCATTACTAGGATGGATGGTGCAATTACCCCATGACAGCTGCTAGCTGATGATCACTTTAGAAGGAATGACCACTCTGAATTTATGTTGGAGGTGACGAGCCCCCAAGAGTAAAATCGTGGCATGGCCTATAATCATTAATTTAATTGTTCTTGGCAGCAGCTATGAAACCCAAGAATCTTGCTGTTGTTTTGTTGCTTTTGTCTTTCTTTTTCCTATTTGTTTTATTTATTTATGCAATGTTCTTACGCTCTGAAAATAATTCTAATTGAGAAGAATGTTTTGGATCACATCCGTTTATGTTCCAGTCAGTGATGCGATTCATTGGTTTTCTACTTCTCTTGTTTCCTTGATGGAAGAATGCCTTTTTTCACTTCGGCTTTGACTCATATGCCTTTCTTTTAGTCCGACAAGTAGCATTAGATAAAGGAGGGCTTTCTTTCTGTTTTCCTTTTTGCCTATTTTATTTGCCTACTATAGATCCAGTTTAGTTTTGTTTCAGCTTTGGGTCTTCTCTTGTTTGTTAGGCCTTGCTCCTGCTTTTGTTTTCCTTCTCCTTGATTGCTATTCATTCAGCCCCAAGCCCAAGGTGTCTTTTGAATCTTGAGATATATATATATATATATATAACCTTAATCTTTTGGCTTAAGGGATTCTTTAATACCTAATTTAGTTAAGCTATCCACTGGATTTGTAATATATTGAATTTTTTTTTCCTTTTTATGTCAATAGCATCCATATATTTTGTGGAGTTTTTATATGGTAATGCAAACTTAGCTGATTGAGAATTTTTATGTTATTTTATGGGTAACAATTAATATTTAGTTCATGAGAAAAGAGATAGATATACAAAAGAAAAAAAGTAAAAAAAATATTTGTATGTCTCGAAAAAATTTAAAATACTCATGAAGTAACTAACAATACTTGTCCCATAAATTTATTGAGAGAGACAGACATAAAAAATATATATATATACACATCAAAATCTATAAAAAAATAAAAATATTTCCAACTAGACTCATTTTTTTAAAATTTTATATCTTCTTGTTTTTTTTCTTTCTTTTTGAGTCTATCCCTCTCATATAATAAGCATTTCTAGTTACTCCATGAATAACATAAAATTTCTTGAATGCCTCCATGGAAATTATAAAAATCTAGTGAATTGCAACGCAATTTTTTCTCTGTTTTATTTATATATCTATCTCTTTGTTTAGTAGATATTGATACTTATTTTTAAAGAAACATAAAATTTTTAATCGTTAGATTCAATATTTTAAGATTTTTTTCAATGATGGTATGACCTCAATTATATTTATTTTTTTTATTTGTCAAAAAAATTGAAAAGTCAAGTATTGAACCATATTGTTCCTAATTAGATTCTGAGTTGGGCAACCAAATCTGATAAGGTTTTTTTTTTAGACTTTAATAGTAACAACTTATTGGTAATAAATTCATGGATTACCAATTTTTTAACGGTAATAACAACCTGTGTATAAAGATTTTTATTGATAATTGTGAAATTCAATGCACCAAAAACAAATCTATAAATTCAAATCCTATCTTATATATATATTTAAGTTTTCAAAAACTCCAATCAAGAAGAGTTTAGATCTACGACTATATTGTTTCAAAATTTTAAGCACTTTGAAAGTGAACAAAAGTATTGTCTCTAGTAAATACGTTGTAAAAATCCTTATGTTTTTAAGGAAAGGTGAGGTTGGAGACTTGGAGAATCATCTTACACCTGAGATGGTCGCACGTCTTGATCCGATCACAAAGGAGAAATTAGATGGTTTTGGATGTGACAAGTGGAAGGTATGGATTGAATTTAGTAGTCTAGATCAATTACAAGGAGAGCTAATGGTGACTCCTTGATGTCACCAACCCCTACGATAAGAATGACATAAAGACCAAGTCTTAAGGAAATGATGTTTACTTTACGTTTGATTGTTTCAAGTTTTTTTTTTTTTTTTTCATTTGATTGTTTGACAATATTGCAATACTACCACTACTTCTTTTCCTTACTATTCTATGCCAAAAATTTGGTTTTATTTGACAATATTACAAGGAATGATATTCTTTTGCTACATACATATATAGTAAACCTTATGTACATGTAAATCTACTGTTTTTAAGATAGTTTAAGTTGAGTCTGAAATTTTCCTGCTTTCCTTACAAAGTCATATCTAGTATGAGGGCTTCTCTTTTCTTTCGATTACGATCAAAATCTACAAGATACATATATATACACCCTGAACATCATCATCAATAAGCTCAGCCTTATGGACATGTAGGTCTATCAGGAAACGCCTTCGTCAACATCAATTCCAGTATTGCCTTCCGCTCTTACAGTCATGGATTCTTCGTCTTCAGATAAATGCAATTTACTTGAGGATAAAAGGATGAGTCACTGGGATCAAAACATGAACCATTATGCAGTTGCATCTGTAAGCAGTTCAAGGTCTAGTTTCTGCTGTCTCACCCAGTTGCTCAAGTGAATCCATCTGTTCCTTTCCAAAATTACAACCTGGAAGGTTATGTTCAGGAAGCTGAAATGAATAACTATCATCCTCAGAAGAATCCTGATAGATCCTGCTTAGATGAGGAAACTTGAAGTCGATCCCTCACTGCAAGAAACAAATATGAAGTTTAGAATTAATCATTGTAAGAGTGAAAATCAATCTGAAAGGACATTAAAAATATGAAAGATATCAAGCATGATCTCTATACCTGAAAATTAGTCTTGGTATATCGCCAACGTGATGAAAGAGACTGGAATATTTCCTCTCTTCCTTGTCGTCATCATCATCTTCCCCTTCAATGTCTTTGATCTCTTTGAGTGAGAGAAAGACATGGTGAAAGATGGCAACCATACTCATTTCATCAACTTTGCTTTAGTGTGCTCCTATTTTCTGAATATGCTCCTTTTTATAGGCCAGGAACAGTGTTAAGTTAGGTTCACGTACCCACTATTGACAACCATGATAGAATCATCAATTTTGATTTTTCCATTTTTGTATAGAATTTAAATTTGATTTGTTTGTATATGATTCAAAAAATAATTAATAGTACTTGATTCATGAATTTATTTTGAGAAGAAAAAAACATACAAGAGAGAGATAGAGAAAGTTATATCTAAACTCACTATATGTGATAAGAATATTTTTATCTATTTTTTTTTTTATCGATCTCTCTTCTATGATGTAAGTGTTATTAGTTAGTCTTTGAGTATCATAAAATTTCTAATATTTTCCTAAAGAATTTATAATATATAAAAAAATTCTATAAATGCCTAATGTAACAAAATAAAATAACTTCTAATATTTTCCTAAAGAATTTCTAATAAAAAAAAATTCTATAAATGCCTAATGTAACAAAATAAAATAACATATTGATAACAAAGCAAGCTGGAAACTTCTAATATATATATATATTCTTGATATTTCAAATTTTTTCGATATTATTTACATGTGGAGGTAAGATACAAATTAATACGTGATCTTTTTTTTTTGTTGCTATTTTCTTCTTTATTGGCCAACGAATATCACTAGGCTCAACACTCATTGATGATTCTTTTACATATTTTTACGTGCTATGCATATAAAAAAACTGTATGCAATGCCTAATGAATTATTGAATTCCGGCAAAAGATCATATATATATATATATATAGTGCATATGATTCTTTTATGCATATTTTCAATTAAAATCATGCAATTTTTCTGCATGTGCACGGAATGAAAAAGTATTATATTAATTTGTATCTTGTCTTCACATAAAAATTCTAAATTTTTAATACCTAATTTAGTTAAGCTATCCATTGGCTTGATAATATATTGAATGTTCTAATTTTCATTTTATGGCGATAATAACCATATGTTTTGTGAAGTTTTTATATGGTAATGCAATTTTAGTTGACATGGAGAATTTTTATGTTATTTGCTATCCATTGGCTTAGTGATATTTTTTGGGCTCTAAAAAAGGAAACAGAAAAAAAAATTCAAGTATTAATTTGTATATTTCCTTCACATATAAATAATATTGAAAAAAAATTCAAATATTAAGAATATATAATCATATATATTTCTAGAAATTTCCAACTTGCTTTGTTATTAATATTTTTTTTTATTACTTTAGGCAAATATGGTAGTTTCTTTTAATTGAAAATCTTAAAGAAAATGCTAGATATAGAGAGAAACTTATGATACTCAAAGAATATAACTAACAGTATTTTTTAAAAAAAGAAAAAAGACACCCACAAGATGAGAGAAAAATAGGTGAGAAAGAATTTTTTTTCAAAAAAAAAAAAGGTATAGGTGAAAATATTATTTTTATGTTTTATAAGTCCGATGTAAATTTTTTCTTCTTCTTTATATTTATTTTTCTCTTCAAAATGAGCTTATAGAGTAAGTATTAATAGTTATTCAATTCATTGAGTCATTAACAAATAAATCAGACTAAATTTCTATGTCAAAATGGAAAAATCAAAATTGATGATCCTGATCTTGTTTGTCAATAGTGGATAGGTGAACCTAACCTAACATCATTCTTGACCTATATAAAGGAGCATATTCAGCAAATATGAGTGCACCAAACCAAAGTTGATGAAATGAGTATGGCTACCATCTTTCACCGTGTCTTTCTCTCACTCAGAGAGATCAAAGATAGTGAAGGGGAAGATGATGACGACGACAAGGAAGAGAGGAAACATTTAACTTTTTTAAATCAGGTTGGCAATGTACCAAGACCATTTTTTAGGTATAGAGATCATGCTTAATATCTATCATTAATGTTCTTTCAAACGTGCATTTTCAATTTTAAAAACATTAATTCTAGACTTTATATTTGTTTCTTGTAGAGAGGGATCGCGTTCAGATTTCTTCAATATCTTAAGGTTTTTTTAATGACGGTATGACCTTAATTATATTTAATTTCTTTATTTGTCAAAAAATTGAAAAGTAAATTATTGAACCTTATTCTTCCTAATTAGATTGTGAGTTGTGTAACCAAATCTAACAATTTATTCTGTTTATACTTTAGTACTAACAACTTGGTAATAAAATTCATCATGTACTAGATTTTTAACGTTAATAACAACCTAGGTATAACGATTTTTTAATGATAATAACAACTATTAAACATTGTGAAATTCAATGCACCAAAAAAATAAAATCTATAAATTAAGATCCTATATATCTTATATTCATAGCTAACTACTTATGTATATATATTGCTAATTATATATTCTCAATATTTGAAAATTTTTCAATATTATTTACTTGTGAAGGCAAGATACAAATTAATGCTTGATCTTTTTTCTTTGTTTTCTTTTTTATTGGCCAACGATTATCATTAAGCTCAACACTAATTGATTCTTTTACATATATTTTCATGCTATGCATATAAAAAACTACATGCAATACCCGATGAGTTATCGAATTCCGATAAATGTTTATATATATATATATATATATATATATATCTAAACTCTTCCCAATAGAAGTTTTGAAGTAGTTAATTATAAATATAAACACAAGATAGGATCTTAATATATAGATTTTTTTGGTTTTTTTGGTGCATTGAATTTCACAATTCTTAATAGTCATTATTATCGTTAAAAATCGTTATACGTAGGTTGTTATTGGCGTTAAAAATCCAATAAACAATGAATTTTATTATTGTAAAAAGGATAGGTTGTTAGATTTGATTGCACAACTCACAATCAAATTAGGAACAATAAGGATTGATAATTGACTATTCAAAATTTTTAACAACTTAAAATATTAAATATAATTATGGTCATACCGTCATTAAAAAATCTTAAAATATTGAATCTAACAATCAAAAAATTTTATATTACTCTAATAATAATTATCAATATTTATTAGATGATGAGAACAATAGACATAAAAAAACAAAGAGAAAATTGTATCCGACTCGCTAGATTTTCATAATTTCTATAGAGCATAAAAATACATATTTTTTCTTTTTTCTTTCTCTCGTATATCTATCTATCTTCAAAGAGATTAAATAGTAATAATTACTGATAAATTAACATAAAAAATTCGTCATATCAACTAAGATTTCATTATCATATAAAAACTCCACAGAACATATATGTGGATTTATTGTCATAAAAGAAAAATAAAACATTCAATATATTACCAAGCCAACGGATAGCTCGGGATTAAAAAGACACCTTGGAGCCAATAGCAACGGAGGAGAAGGAAAACAAAGGCAGGAACAAGGGCTAGCAAACTAGACAAGATCCAAAGCTGAAACAAAACTAAAATGGACCTATATTCTCAAAGGGAGAATTCTGTCACTGATCGCAGCGACAATCCAGGTTCGAAAGCCGGTGGACTTGACAAAACATGAGATTCATTTAGGGACCTATAAATTGAGATGGTTATTCTTACAATTTTTCGGGGTGCCTGAGACAAACTGTTGATATCTAGGTCACTGAACAGGTGGGACAAGTGATTTTTTCTTCTTCTTCTCTTTTTATTGTTTTTTTCTCTTTTCGCTGTAGAGGGAGAAAAGATTTGTTTATGTATTGTTATGGACTTGGTATTGTGAAGAATCCATATTACTGGGGCCTAGGGTGTGTACAGAATCGGGTTAGCTATTCAAATATTGTTCGATGAAATCCTACTTTTTCTACTGCCTCTCTCTCCTTCTTGATCCAAATCCTGCACCATGGCCTGACTATCAACCTAAATGCTTTGTGTTTGATTCATTGGCCCATCATGATTTGTGAACTTGTTTTGCTTACGTTTGCAAAATTTAAGGAACTTGAGACTTAACTATTTCCTCTTATAACTTCTCACCTCTTGTCTATCCAGTGAATGAACTATTCTGGGAGTGTTGGTGCTCCACTGAGCTGAATGTAGCTCACATTTGGTTAATCAATTTAGATGTAACCCTAAGCTTGAAGGAACTGTCCCAATGAGCTAGAGAGAGAAGCTAGTCTAATTAGTTGGCAAACCAACACATTAACAAGCCATCCACATAGCATCTTAATACTCCTTTATTTTATCAAATCTCAAACATCTTTCAATACCTCGACAACTAGATTGATTGTTTCCTGTTACAACACATGCACAAGACCACTAGTACTACTCCAAAACATTAAAGGTAACCTAAAACTAAAGTCCAATACCAGTGGAAATAACACCAAAAATAATCTGACTATTTAATTTAGATGTTGGACAAAATTACCTTACTATATATTAGGCAAAAAAAAAAAAAAAAACAGAGTGGTTAAGGTAATCAATTGCTTTACTGCTTGGATTGGAAGGATTTGAATTCTGTACATTTCATGGCCATAACTTATGAATTATGAACCAATGGCAATTATCCCAAGACAACTACTAGCTGATGATCACTTCGCAAGAGATGACCAACTGCTAACAATTACCTTACTATATTTTTTCTATAATTTTACTGTATTTTATTTTTTTTAGCAATTTTTTAAGTACGAACAAACTTATATTATTTTCACTATAAGCTGCGTTAGCACTTATGACAAACGGAGTAAGCATGAAACATAATTAACACAATCATCATCATCATTGTCATTATTTTCCTAATTACATTGAATGATTAATCCTTTTTTTCAAAAAAAAAAAAAGGGTTTTGGAATTGATTATTGTGTCCTCCCTAGCTGCTGTTGGCAAAGTAAGCAAGAAAGATAACTAATATCATCATCCCTGCATTTCCATTACTATTTATTTATTGTAATCGAGTATTTTTATTTTTATTCTTCCAATTACTACAACGATTTATTTCTTTTAAGAGGAAAAGGAAAAAAAGTTTTGAAATTGATGATTCTACCCGTTATTGTTGGTCTAAGTTAGATTCGTTTTTATTGAATTTTGTCCAACACAATGTTATTCTAAATGTATTTGTTTTTTTATTCGATAATAATAAATATTTTTAAATTAGTTTTTACCTTGAAATTCTTTTGCAAATGATATCATTCTTCCAACATCAGTTTAGCGCATTCAAATGTACATTTTATGCAAATGCTAAAGCTGCCACAACAAATGAGAGCCTACTCTCTTATTTGCAATTTTTTCTTAAAAAAAGAAAATGGGAATATTATTTCGAAGCAATACCGAACATATAAAAACTTCAAATGGAGCCTTTTTACTAAATTCCAATTTGGGCCACATTGCAACAGAGTTGGATTGAAAGGTAGCAAGCTACCAAATTTGGGTCCATTGGTTGTGAAATTGGAGAGAAATCGAACATGCTACAGGGCGAGAAAGTCAAGCCTCAAACTAGCTAAAGGAAACTTCCTAGTCTCTTCAAAAGACATTTTACCTTCCATGTGGACCGATAGAAAATTCCGTTCTTCCCATGCTCCTGTTTAGTTTCGACACTTTCTATTCATAAAACTGATGGGTTTCTTATCATTTATCAATCTGTTGATTCTTCTCGTCTCTGGAAAGGCTAATGATGTTTTCTTGACTTTTAGCCACCAAGACACTGGCAAGAATTTTGGCGATCATCTTTACAAAACTCCGAGTAAGCCTGGGATTCGCACTTTCAGAGACGAAGATGGAATTTAGAGAGGAGGAAAGACTGGCTCAAAATCAAGAAAGCCATAGTCTTATCAAGAATATCAGTTGTTGTGTTTTCTACCGACTACGCATCTTCAACACGGTTCCTGGACCAGCTTGTGCTAATCATGAATGCTAGGAGAACAACCGGGATTGTTGTGCTTCCTATTTTTTTACAATGTTCATCCATCAGAAGAAAAGTATAGCGAAGCATTTTCTAAACATGAAAAAAGCTTCCATAGTGAAATGGGCAGAGTGGAAAATTGGAGGGCAGATCTTAAAGAAGCTGCAGACCTGGCAGGAATAGTCCTCCAAGACAGGTAACCTCCTTACTTAACTCCAGAGAGAGTGCAGTTTTAGAGGCAATGGATGTTACGGATTTGGACAGGATTCCAAGAAGGAAAATTGAATTATAAATTTCAATAATAGAAAAGAAGAGAGAACAATCCAGAGCAATCCTTTTTTGAATATTATTGTTTTAGAGAGAGTTTTTCAAAGGGAAATAGTTGGCAGAAGAATTTGGCTAATCATGCATATGCATATGATCTAACAGGACTGAATGGATTAATGGATTCTTACCCAATTATACATTTCAATTCTATGCGATCTTTAGCATCAATATGATCAGTAGGAGGATTCATGTCAAATCCTTAACTTCTTCTAGGCTGCCAGAGCAATCCTCATGGCCTTAGTTGAGCACTAGCCTGATCCGAATTCCTGCCACAGAATTACCAACCATTAAAGACACACCTTAATTAGGTTGAGAGCTCTAATATGAGGCAGCTGTCACTTAGACTCCACAGTTGTGGAACTAATGGGCAGAAAGTTTTGTTGCAGGAACAGACTTTTTAGCATCCTTGAATTCCCTACTGTAGAAATCAGTCATATTAACTGTGTCAGCAGGAATTCCTTCCATTATCCATTTATTCATAGCTTACCAAATTTCCCAGCACATGTAAGCTAGGTATGTGATCATTTCTTCCCCACCTCTGACCCTCAACACTTCTCGGGTACGGAACTAGCAGTCTTTAAAATCCAAAAGGGTCTGTTTATCTGGAATAAAGTGAATAGAAGAGGTAAGCCATGTCGCTTTAATTTGGCATGGTGGCAGAAGAAGATAGTCTATACAGCGGTTTCTTCCTCTTCGCAACAGATCCGACACAGGTTTGAAGGGGCTATGTTCCTATTCCACAAGTTTCACTGCTCTATAGATGAAGTTGTTGACTTTGGGAGCATCAGTGGCCTTTCCATATGGAATTCCAAATAAGAGGGTTTGTTAGAGAAGTTGATGTGCCTGCAGTAGTTCTATCCTATTCTTTGCACAGTAAGCCAGTACCATTGAAATTATGTTGTCAAATAAACCTGTCATTTCTGTTTACAGCTGCTATAGCGATTATTTGAATGGCCTCAGACTCTTCTTTGGAAAAATAATATTGCGTAGAAACATAATCCCAGACTCCATCCCTTAGTCTCATTAAGTCACTTGCAGTTTTCCAGTGACAGTTCGAAGGTTTAGGAGGTAGAAGTCAGACATGCACATATTGTGAGAAATGAAATGACCAAACTGAGTGAGTGCCATATACAGAAATAGAACCATTTTATTGTGTGTGCCATTGAGTACTCTAGGCCTCTAGCTATATATATATATATATATATGAGCATTAGATTATTTACACTGTTGTGCGTGGCATGCCATGCATAGAGAGTAGAAACAGAGTAGTCTGGCTAGCGATGAACACTAATCTGTATATATGTTAAACAGCCAACCTCCTTAGTTTACTGGGGAACTTTGAGGAGGTTCTTATAATTTGCAGCTTGAATGCTGCATGAATCTGCTGCAGGTACCGCTGATACATGCAGCTATAAAGACGGATATAGTACTACATGTGATTGGATTTTTGTGTTTTTGGTCTGAGCTCTGACCCCCTTGCCCTGATATATATGTTTGTATAGGACTAGAAGGGCTAAATTGGGAGGATTGTAGTGATAGTAAAATTGACACCATGAACAGTGTGGCCTCCTTCTTCAACCTCCAACCCAGCTGGAATATGAAACCATTACCAGAAATTGATTGAATAAAATTAGATTAGATATTCAATATATTGTTTTTACTAATTAGTTATTTGGGTCTGTTTGTTTGCAGCTATGAATCCAAATTCGTAGAATCTATTCTTCAACACATCGCTAATCAACTCAAGGCAGCCTCCCTCCCTTTCCTCCTCTGCTTTCCCTCCCCTTTTTTTTTTGGTAAAAACGAAAACATGAGCCTTAAACATGCTTAAAGGATCGCAGAGGTTGCGAGATTGAAATGTAAACCATTAGCAACTATACACGTGGATACCCAATAACTGATGAAAACGAAGGATGGTCCCACAACTTTGACCAAGTACAGAGACAGAACGCCAACTTTTTTCATTTTTCTTTTCCCTCACCAGTCTTGACTCTTGGCTTTGCTTATGTCTTTTTGCTGAACTAAATTAATTGGTTAACGGATTGTATCTTTAAGAATTATTGATGGTCTAATATCCTCTTCTTCTTTTTTTCATTTCTTTTTTTATTCTTATTTATGCTTTGTAGGTACTAAAAATAGTTAAAATACTTTAAAAGATGAGCTATCCTGAGTTAATTCTCTTCGAATTCTCTACCAAATAATTTTATACACTTGATCTACAATTAGACAAACAATGTGTTTTTTTTCAGCCTCTTTTCATAGTTGAAGATTCACATGTTATAATTTATTCCCAAAGAAATCTTTCTATGTTAAATAAAATAGTTTAGCAGCTAATCGATTAAAAACCGCTGAGTTTGTGTAATATTAAAAAATAATAATTAAAGACTCTAATGTTAGGATGTTTCACTTGATTTTACCTATTCAACTCCAGCATTAGTCATTCATGCCACAAAACACAAACTCCGTATTTAATTTGGACGTAGTAGGATAAAATACCTCCAAAGCCAAATTACTATTAGGCCCAAAAAAAACTTCAGTAGTTAAGATTGCTTCACTATTAGGATTGGAAAATTTTGAATTATGTATTGGTGTTTCATGTCCATGGCTTATAAACGAATTATAGCAATTAATTAGCATCCCATCTTAGGATTTCATATATTTCATTACTTAGGCTTTATTGTCCAATCACCCAACAAAAACATGGAGGAGGAGGGGAATTTTGCTCATAATTAAGGAATGTTGCTTGATATCAAATTCAACTTATTATGGATAATGGATAAAATACTTATTTTCGTTGAGTATATTTATCTGACATCATTTAAGTGTTTTTTTTTTTTTTTTTTTTTTTTTGTAATTTTAGTTTTGAAATTGCCTTTAAAGCTGCTCTTTTTCTCAAGTTTGGAAATTAGTTTTAATTTTAATTAAATTACTTTTGAAGCTGCTTTTTTTAAAAAAAAATCTAGAAATTAGTTTTAATTTTAATTAATGTGGGTGTTAATTTAAAAATATTTATTCGTTCGATGATAAGAGTATTTTTGGATTAGCGTTCACATTCAAAATTATTATTATTATTTGATAATTTTAAAGACACACCGTCTATATTAAATATGATGCTTTTTTTAAAAAATAAAATTATTTTAGATGCTGGCTCAAAATTTGAATTCAAAAAAATAAGAAATTGAACAAATTTCCCAAAGTTTAAAATATCTTCTTACCCTCTAAAAAAAAGACTTAAAAAAATGAAGCTCCTTTACATATTATGCAAATGCAAACGGGGCCCCACAAATGGAAGCCTGCTGTCTTCTTTGCCTTATATATTCATATTTTTGAAACAATTGAATATTATTTCAAAGCAAAACCCAATATTTAAGAAATTAAAATTGAGGCTTTTTACTAAATTCCAATTTGGGCCAACAATGTTACAGAATTGGACTCAAATGGACCGAGTACCAAATCGGGGCCAATTGTTGTAAAGTTGGACAGAAATGGAGCAAGCTACAGTGTGGGAAAGCCAGGGTAGCTTGAAAATAGACTTAAACTTCAGCTTTCTTTACCTTTTACTCTTTTATCGTTTTTCTGTTTTTCTTCTTTCTCCAACATTCTGTTCCGATCGAAAATCTCATTTCTATTCATAAAAAATGTTTGGTTTCTTATCATTCATCAATCTGTTGATGCTTCTCATCTCTGGAAAGGCGAATGATGTTTTCTTGAGTTTTAGCCACCAAGACACAGGCAAGAATTTCAGCGATATCTCTACAAAGATCTGACTACGGCTGGCATTGGCACTTTTAGAGATGAAGATCGAATTTATAGAGCAGAGAGGGCTGAAATCGAAATCAGTAAAGCAATAGAAGGATCAAGAAGATCAATTATTGTGTTTTCTAAAGACTACCCATCTTCAACACAGTGCTCGGACCAGCTTCTGATCATCATGAATGCCAGGAGAAGTACTGGGCTCATTGTGCTTCCAATGTACATTTTATGCAAATGCTAAAGATGCCACCACAAATGGGAGCCTTCTCTCTTCTTAATTTGCTATTTTTGTTCACTTCCCTAGTGTTCAAATTCTCAAAACTACAAAGTCTTACAATTTCTGGTACCAAACCTTCACTCTCTTCCTCAGGCAAAAAAAAGGTTTGCCTATAAACTCTGCCATTTTCTTTACTTGAACCAAAGGCTCTCTTTTTATGTCCTCGTATATCAGAAACAATACTGTTTTCGGGGTTTCTAAGCTGGCTTTCCAAAAACCGAGAACATGATCCCAAACGGGTCCCTAGTGTCAGACTCCATTGTAGAACATCTCGAATGCATAGAAATTAATATAAAACTATTACCGGAGCTTTACCCATCGACTTAAACTTTTAAACTTCTGGACCGAGAGTCATATAAAATTATTACTAGAGTTTTGTCCATCAATTTAAACTTTTAAATTAAGATAATTTTTTTGACATTATATCATAATTATATCATAATTTTGATTATCAAATAATTATGAATATTATCATTATATTTTTTTTGAATAATTAAACATAAAATAATATAAATGTATATAAATTTTAAATCTAAACTATTTTTATTTTTAAAATATATTAAAAAATAATATAAAATTATTTTTAAAATCTCATCTATCAATTTAATTTTTGAGTTAGATGGTTTTTTTCGGTCAACATGAAAGAAAAGGCAATTCTTCTATCTTCTCCGCAAACTTCCATCTATAAAGAAGAAATCTTTTGGGTTGCGGCAAACATAAACAAACTTGCAATCCTCCTCGATCATCAAGCCTATTTTCTCATCAATCAAAACATTTGATGAAATTATAGTAAGGTGGCAAACCATGAAAGAACAGGTTACATATTCCTTCAGGAAACATATAAAATAGAGAGAGATAATGAAAGTATGGAACTTTAAAGTTTAATAATGCTGATGCATCATATATTCATTTTATTTTATCAAATATTTAAAAGGACGATTTTTTAGTTTTTTTAAAAAAATTAATAATCATTTTATGAACTATTAACCAAAGGATTGATTTATTAATTTTTTAAAATATATCATTGCCAATGTAAGAAATATTTCTTTAAAATCGTTTGAAAATAAACTATATAAATTACTTAAAACATCCTTATTGTGGAATAAAAAACGATTTTTTGATGGCAATAAAAATTAATCGATTTTTTTCTTAGTAATAACATAATTGGTGGTTAATAGAAGTTAAAATGCCATATTACAATAAAAATTTATGTTCTTTTTTTATTTTTATTTTGGTCATTAAGTTTTATCATGTTTAATTTTTATCCTTACTATACTAAAATTAAATAAAGTTTACTATCCTAAGCTTTTTTTTTTTTTGGTTATTAGTGAAACTTTTCTTTCTATTATAATTCTTGTTTTGTGGTTTTTCTTTGTTTTTGCCATTAAATTTAGTAAATTTTTTCTTTGTTTTAGTCCATGTTTTGTAATTATTTTTTATTTTAATCATTAAATTTTTATTATATTTTTTTTCCTTACAAGAAACTATTTTTTACTTTTAGTAAAACTTTTTTGTTATATTTTGGTTTTTGTATTGTGATCTTTCATTTATTTTAATCATTAAATTTTTATTAAATTTTATTATAATTCATTATACGCTAAAATTAAATAAAGTTTCACTATTCTAAGTTTTTTTTTAGTAAAAAATATTTTTTGTTTTGATTCTTATTTTATTAATTTTTTTATTTTGGTCATTAAAATTCTATAATTTTTTACTTTTGTTCCTACCTTATGCATAATGAATTTTTTTAGTCTTATTGTTTATAAGTTTTTTTTTCTTTTAGTGAAAGTTTTTTTAATTTATTTTGATCTTTTTTTATGATCTTTATTTTATTTTGATCATTTAATTTTTATTGCGTGTAATTTTATCTTCGTTTTCTTTATCAAATTCTCGATTTGACAAAGGTTTTTTGTCTTTTTGTTTTGGGTGGTTTTTTCTGTCTTATTAACAAATTACGGATGAATGATATATGGTAAAAATTAATCATCTAAAATTCAAAAAACTAACACATTATTATTTTAATTATCATTTATTATACATATTTTAATTATATCAAATAATATCTAATTAACAACATTATATTACTCAATTTTACATATTTTTCATTTAGCTAACCTCGCTGTAAAATATAAAATACATGTTTTAATTTTTTTAAAAAGAAATTTCAAGTAGTACTTTTAAATAATTATTTTTAAATTTTAAATTTTATATAAATGAATAGATAAGAATAATGTATATAGCTCACCTAGGATGTATACACTAGAGAGAGAGAGAGAGAGAGTATCCATTCTAGCCTGCTGCAACTTTCGGTGTGTCTCTCGTGCACTAGTGGTGCGTGTCTCGTGCACTAGATCATGGGAGAAGGCATCGTCTTTGACTAATAACTATGATGTTTTGGATCACATCCGTTAACATTCCAATCAGTGATGAGGTTGATTGGTTTTCTACTTCTCTTGTTTCCTTGATGGAAGAATGCCTTTTTTAACCTTGGCATTCATATGCCTTATTTATTTATTTATTTAACTTCAATTTTTTTATTAATCTTTTTCTTATTTGATTTTTTAATGAATTATGCTAAAACTATTCATCAGCAATACCTATAGCATGTATCCAACATCACTAATGATAGAGTTGGACTTTCATATTGAAGGTGCGAATACATGTTTAATAAAAGAGGGTTTTTTTTTTTTTTTCTGTTGCATTTCCATTGCTTAAAAAAAAATTTATAAATTAGTCTCTCTAATTCCAAGAAATAAATAAATAATTTTTTTTCAAAAAATATTATTTAATTATTTAATTCGTATTTAACATGTTTAATTTAATATTACTTTTTTTAAAAAAAAATTAGTTTCTCATCAATCTTTCTATATTTTTCATATTTTATTTATTTCTTAAAACAAAAAATCAAAATAAATTAAAAAAAATAAAAAACTTAAATTATAAATAAATTTCAAAACATAAGAATTAAATTACTTATTTTTTAAAAAAAATAATTTATTTATTTTTTAAAACGAGAAGAGCTGATTGATATTTTACTCGCTAAAAAAATTACATTACATTGGTTGTTAAAAAATAAAAAAGAAAGAATAATCGGCGAGGCGGAAATAATGCTGTCCAAGCCAAACGAAATGTGAATTTTATTTATTTAACGAGCATCAGGTATGAAATTTAATCGTGACTGGAGAGAGCATGATAACGACCAAATAAAAAAACCGGACATAGTATCCGAAAAGAAAATAAAAACTAGCCGCATCACACAACAGAAGCGTTACACGTGTCTGCAGGCCTGATAGGATAGCACTTCCACGCACAAAATCCTCTGCCTCAACGCAGAGGATTTCACTCTATTAATCCTTGTCTCACCTCACATGTCAGTTGCTAAATCTGTTGAGAGGTGCCTGTAAAATTGTCCCATTTTCTTCCCCTGCATATTTCCGGTTAGTTTTTTTTTTCCTCCAACCAGTACTGTTATTATTTTTGTTTAATTTAATTTATTTCCAGTTAAAATACGGGTTGTTTAATTAATTAATTAGGGTATTTGGGAACGGCAGATGCAGAGAGAGGACGGTTAGTTTATACTCTGAAAGGGATTTCTTAGCTGGCAAAAATGGTGCAAGGTGTGTCCTTAGCTTCTCTAACAGCCTCAGGAAACTGTGGAGTTTATGGATTGATTATGCCGAAGTGGAGGCATTTCAAGCTATCGAGGAAAATCCATGGCCAATGCCCTTTGCATCAGTGTGTTCAAGGATTACAATTTATTGGTAACCCGAACATATTAAGACGAAGAAATTTAAGGGTTGAAGCTGGATGGCTGTTTAACAAAGAGGGTGAACAGGAGCTGGACGCAAGCTCTGAACGTAGTGAGAGTGCGAATGAAGATATACTGATTTTCTTTTTTCAGTTAGATTTGGCCACTCGAGTTCAGGTTTACTGGCAGTGTTTATTTTTATTTTTATTTTTTATAACATGGAGTGAAGCATTTTGTTGTGCCTGGTTTTTGGTGTCTTGTAATGATAACAAGCTTTTTTGGGGTGGTTATTGTGAAATTTGCAGTATGCTTTGAACGTGGAGCAGTATGACATCGCACAGCAACTGAGAAACAAGCTTACAGAGGTTACATCCCATTTCCGGGCTTATTATGATTTGATTTTCAATTGTGTTGTCAGTTTGTTTTCGCTGAAATCTTCTTGCGTTATACAGAAACTTTTATTTTTCTCTAGTTGTCAGTCATTGCTGAGGACTTTTGGATTATATTTTCTTACACTGAAATTGTGCATGCTTGCGTAACACCAATAAATATCAGTGTCCATGGAGAATAAGCTAGTTGGTAAATAGAGTTATCAAATGAATTTGCAGCATGCTGAATGAGTTCGCTTCTTGGAAGGTTGAAGCTGAGGTCATTGGGCAGCAGGAAGCAAAGAGGGGATCATCTTCTAAGAGTGAAGCTCAAGATAAGGCTATACGTATCATACGACTACGGTGAGTCCCCCATTTTTCCTATGTTATATATGCTTGGGCTCGAATCCAAAAAATTATATTAGAAAAGTTGTAATAAATCTAATTGTTAACATTTTACTTCAGGCTTTTTATTTTTTATTTTTTGGATTTCTTATGTTACATTTTACTGGCTCAACTAGAGTGTGCTGTAAACTGCTTCTGTTTCTTTACTTGCAGTGCAGACCTCCAGACTGCAATTGAGAATGAGAATTATGCTGTGGCAGCTGAATTACGAGATCAAATTTCAGAACTGGAAGCAGAGTCTTTGGCTGCATCTGCAAAAGCTCTGGTATATGAAAATGCACAGTATGCATTTCGTTTAGGGCAAAAAGTGAGGCACAAAATTTTTGGTATGTAAGCATGGCTTCCACACGATCATTTTAATCTTTCATTTGTTTTTGGTTCCTGTATGAGGTGCAGTTGCATTAAATATGTAGAAAAGGAGTCCATTGAGATGTATTCATGCCATGGGAGCACATCTGAAGAGCCAAATGTTATGATTTTGAACTCTGTAAAAAGCCAATGAATTCTGCAGCCTTCTTGATTCTTTCAACAAATGAAGATAAGAAGAAACGAAGTGCAAGTACTAAAAATTAGGAGTTGCTTATCCTGTTGCTATGTGTCAACAATTCATACTTCACTCATGTTTATGTTTCCATGACTCTTGCAACAATCTGTATCTTGGCCTTATAACAAACTTTCACAGATGCATGCTGGCTTTTCTTTCCCTGATACTGGTAGTTCCCGATTTCCGTATTGGTCGAATAACTATAATTTCCATAGATGTATTCTCCTTTTCTATGTGCCAGCATGGAAGAATCTTAACTTTTCTGGTTGCATTTACATTTGCTTATTTGCCTAACTAAATTATCTTATTACTACTGAAAGGTATATTATGATCTTAGGCTATCGAGCTGTGGTTTGTGGAATGGATCCAGTGTGCTGTGAGTCAAGTTCATGGATGGAAACAGCACATGTTGAAAAGTTAGCTCGTGGTTCTAGTCAGCCATTTTATCAGGTTTAATTAACCTTGTCTTTGCTCCTCCCCTCCCCCACCACCCCCCCCCCCTCCTTTTTTAAAAATGTGGAAGAGGTTCAATGCATCTCCCACTTTGTTGTCGGAGAAAGGCTCAAGGGGCATGCTTTCTCCCCTGCTTCATATGGTGGAATCTCTTCTCTTTTGAGCTAAAAGAGTGGAGGTTAGACTTTAGTGTAATGGAGTTTCCGTGAACCAAATTCATTTCAACTGCTTTGGAAATCATAGCATGATAGGTTGACACATTTGGTTGGTTTAATTGAATGAGAAAATTGATTTTTTTTTCCCTGGTTGGGTTGAAAAATAATCATGTGCAGTTAGATCTTGGAAATTAGGTTTCTTGGGGTTGCAGCCATACTCTGTTATAATGCAATGATTTGTCTTCTTGCCCAATTTGAGATGATTGTCATAAAAAAGAGTTGGTGTTGATTAGTGTTCATCTCATTCGTGCATATATTTTGGTACACTAGTCTCCATGGTATAATGCATAGCATTGATGATGAAGTTCTTACATGCTTTTCAGGTTTTGGTAGATGTACATGAGGATCCCAATCTACTGGTGGCATATGGTAATCTGCATTTTGTTTGTGTTCCTTTTTGTGCATCTCCATAGATTGTTTTTCTCTAGAATTTGGAACTGAATATCAAGCATCCTGTTAAACATAGTTGTTCAAGTGTACGCATGAAAAACTTGAAATTCTTGATGTTATGTAGTCTTTCTTAATACTCATGTTAATGCCTGAATGAACATGAGATTGGGTGTTCCTTTCTGCAGTTCCCGAGGAAAATTTGGTTGCTCCTGAGAAACCAGATCAGGTAAGTTAAATTGTTGATTGAAAAAATGAACCATGCCCCTGGCTTTTTTGCTTGATTGTTTTTAGCATATGTTCAATATGCAGGGAAGGTTTGATCATCCCTATATATCATTCCTATTCTATGGGATGGATACAGCAGGGGATTTTATCCCAATCAAGCAGCTGCGTGAAAAGTACAGTAGGCCTCGGCATGAAGTGCCAATTGACCCACCAGATGATGATAATGGTGGTGGTGGTGGTGATGGTTAAGCAAGAGAGTGCTGATTTCTGGTCCACATGACCTTTGAAAGATTTGGAGCTGAAAAGCTTATAGAATTTAGTAATCTATCTCAGCTCTGTATGATTTGATGGTGCTTTCTTCACTTGTTACGCTAGAAATTTCAGTCGTGATTTGATTTGTGTTAGCAACGTTTCATAATAACTTGTATACGGCTAATGTACATGTAAAGAGTTAATTACATTTTAAGGGTTCAAACTTGTCAATTTTTTCTATTTGAGAACCTATTTTCTAATCTTTGCTGTGTCAGTGACTCAACTTGCAATTTATTCTATTTGAGAGGTTCCGTGAACTATTTACCTCTTTACTGACTTGCCTGTTATCTGGCATCCCTACTTTTCGAAACGTGACAACCAGAAAAAAAGAAGAAAAAAGGAAATAAAGAAAATTAAAAAAAAAAAAGAGAGAGAAGGAACCAGCCCTTACCCTTTACAGCACCAGCCATTACCCTTTTCTATCGCTGTAATCCGGCAATCACTACCTTTTTTCCCTCTTTACTCACGAAACCCATTCTCAACAACTCATCCACAAACAGGTGGGTGAAGACTGTACTCTTGCATAGTCTCTTGTGAAATCATATGCAAAATGTAATCTTTTTGTGTAGATTTTTCTTGGAATCCATGTAAAAGGTTGGGACATTTTGCTGTTCTGGCCTTCTGGGTCCACAGAGTCTCAAGTTATAGCTGGGGGGTGGACTGTACTTTTACTATTTTAGTATGTTACCGAAATAATGAATTGATAAACGGTGTATCCTTGTTAGAGCAAGGCATCTGTTAACTAGATATAGAGGATTTGAGTTTCTTCTTAAATGGCTAACCTCATCTGTAATACCATTGAGTGATTTTGAAATGCTTGAGATTTAAAGTGGGGAATGAGCTTAGTTCTCACAGCGGAGATGAATTCCCAGTAAGGAGAACGTGTTAGTATTGATTTGGATGGTTAAGTTCATTCCTTGCTGGAAAGTTCAAAAACTTACTATTTGGCTTGCAAGGGAATGATCATCAATGAGCTGATGTGTTTCAAACGGAAGGTCATTGAGTTGGTGAATAGGCCAGTGTCTAGTGGCTGAAGAGATTGTGGTTGGATATTGGTTGTCGAACAAGTGCAGAAATATTTCTGGCCTTCTGATGGCTTGAACAGACAAGTACTCCGAGAATATCTGTTGAGTTAGAAATGGAGCTCTTTCTTAAAATATATGTGCAGAGACGCTTCTAAATTATCTTTTGAGATTTGAATACTAAAGTTCGGGTTTATTTATTAAGAAACAATTCGGTTCTTCATAAGGATTACTTTACAGGTGGCTTGAATTTTCAGGGGAACCTAATAATGCTTTAAAGTGACAACTCATCAATTTTTGGCGGTGACTTGCCAGGTTTCGGTTACAGAGAAGGATAAAAGTCGGTTCCCCCTTTTTGTTTTTTTTTACTTTTATTTTAATCTTTTCGGATTAATTTTTTTTTTAATTGCTATTTCTCTCATATTGAAATCCACGTAATAGTTTTATTTGTGCAGTCGACGGACTCATAAAAAAAAAATTAAAACTTGAATTACTCAAATAAAAAAATTAAATAATAGACACTTAAATAAATAAAAATAAATAAATTTTATAAAACAGAATTAACTCTTCATATAAATCCCAATATTAGTTTTCTCGGGTGTGGTTCCTAGAGGATATAATTCGAGGATACAATTCTTTGTAGACATTTGAAACATCAAACCTGTTGTATTTGTGTTTCTGATATATCAAAATCAAAATAAATTATATAAAACAAAACTACAAGACTATGTTTTTAATCTCTATATTTTTCGATCGGCTTGTAAATTAATTTTTCTATCAATTTTATATTCTTTTCTAACCTATTTAATTTTTTTCAAAAATAGAATAAAAAGAGAGAGAAAAAATTAACTTGGAAAAATATGACGAGGAAAAAAGGCATTATAGGAATAAAAAACTAAATTGACGACGGTTTATGCTAGAAAGGTATTATGTAATTATTTTTTATACTATAAAGATTAATTAATTAGTTTCAATAAACTATGGGGACCAAGCTATAATTAACTCCAAATATATTTGTTAGTATAAACTTTTCGTCTGCCTGAATATTCTGCTGCTGCTTGGCTCTTGAACAAGTAGTATAATTCATGAATCCACACGCTTCCCTCCGAAGCGGAACAGGCGCTTTCTGTTTCTGGAACTTACATAAGTTGGGGTTTTTGGATTTGGATCTCCTTCAATGGTCCGAATCAAAGTAAGCGCAATATTTTGGTTTCTCACGTTGCTTTTCGCTTAACCAATCTGCTTTCTGCTCTCTTGTTCCAATGATTTCATGGAGGTTTAAACTCTTAGAGGGGAGAGCACCCTTTCTGTCGTGGCCCATGTAACCAAGCTTTATTTGCTACTACCAGCATTTCTTCATTACACCATCCTCATGTTGTATGCTTGTTAACAAAGAAGCAGAATGACTCGCTACATGCCCTTGTTCAGGTCCTGCAAAACCTTAAGACAATTAAGCCAACTCCATGCCCACCTCTTAGTTACTAATCTCTTTAACACCGCACAAGCCTCGACCAAACTAATTGAGTGCTATGCTCAAATGGGTTCCATTAAATCCTCAACACTTGTCTTTGGAACCTATCAAAACCCTGATTCTTTCATGTGGGGTGTCCTTATAAAATGCCATGTCTGGTCTCACGCTTTTGAAGAAGCCATTTCACTCTATAACAAGATGCTATACAATGAAACCCAAATTACTAACTTCATATTTCCTTCCGTTTTGAGAGCTTGTACTGGTTTTGGGGATATGGGTATTGGTGCAAAAGTTCATGGGAGGATAATTAAATGTGGGTTTGATGATGATCCTGTTATTGAGACTTCACTTCTTAGTTTATATGGAGACTTAGGTTGCTTAACTGATACAAGGAAGGTGTTTGATAATATTCCGGTGAGAGATTTGGTTACGTGGAGTTCGATTATTTCTATTTATGTTGATAAGGGAGAGGTAAGCGAAGCATTGGAGAGGCTTCGATTGTTGGTATCTGAACGTGTTAAATTAGATTGGGTTATAATGTTAAGTGTCACCAAAGCTTGTACTAAACTGGGCACTTTGAAGCTAGCTAAGTCCATACATGGTTATATCGTGAGGAGGAGAACTGACATTTGTGAGGCGTTGGATAATTCCCTTATTGAAATGTATAGTTCATGTGATGATTTGTTTAGCGCTGAGAGAATATTTGTAAATACGGCCAACAAGACTTTTATTTCATGGACTTCAATGATTTTCTGTTATAATCGAAGCGGTTGGTTTAAAGACGCATTTGAGATTTTTGTGAAGATGCTAGAGTTGAAAGTCGAGCCAAATGTGGTTACCGTAATGGGTGTTCTCAATTCTTGTGCTAGATTAAGCTGGCTTAGAGAAGGGAAAGCAGTTCATTGTTATGCAGTGAGGAGAGATATAGCATTCCAAGAAGATTGTATTGGGCCCGTGTTAATTGAATTATATGCTGGATGTGGTAAACTAGGGTATTGTGAGAAAGTTCTTCATACAATTGGAGAGAGAGATGTTGTGTCATGGAACACGCTCATCTCGATATATGCTCGGCAAGGATTGTTCGAGGAGGCATTGATGTTATTTGTGCAGATGCAGAGACAGGGACTAATACTGGACACTTTTAGCCTATCCAGTGCAATATCAACTTGTGGAAATGTGGGTTTATTACAGCTTGGGCATCAGATACATTGTTATGCCATCAAACGATGCATTTTGGGTGAGTTTGTCAAGAATGCTCTAATTGGCATGTACTCCAGATGCGGTTTCTCGGATTCAGCATATCTGATATTTAATGATGTGAAACAAAAGAGTAGTGTAGCATGGAATTCTATGATTTCTGGGTTCTCTCAGAGCGGTAATTCACTAGAGGCAATTCATCTCGTCGATCAAATGTATCTCAATTGTCTTGAGATGACTGATGTGGTCTTCTTGGGTGCAATTCGAGCTTGTGCCGACATGGTACATCTTGAAAAGGGAAAATGGCTTCACCACAAACTCATTATCTATGGCATGGAGAAGGATCTTTATATCGAAACTGCTCTAACTGATATGTACGCAAAGTGTGGAGATCTTCGAACAGCCGAGGGAGTTTTCGGTAGCATGTCAGAAAAGAGTGTGGTGTCGTGGAGTACGATGATTTCTGGATACGGAATGCATGGTCGTATTGATGCTGCAATCACTCTCTTCAATCAAATGGTAGAATCGGGAATAAAGCCAAATCATATTACCTTCATGAATATCCTATCAGCATGTAGTCATTCAGGATCTGTGGAACAAGGAAAGTTCTATTTTGACTTAATGAGGGATTTTGGCATTGAACCCAACTCAGAACACTTTGCTTGTATGGTTGACCTTCTGAGTCGAGCTGGTGATATCAGTGGAGCCTATAGAATGATAAACTCAATGCCATTCGCTGCAGATGCTAGTGTTTGGGGTAATTTACTTAATGGGTGTCGGATTCACCAGAGGATGGACATGATCCCACGAATTGAAAAAGATCTTTTGAAGAAGAGGACGAGCGATACCGGGCATTATGCCTTGTTATCTAATATCTACGCAGGAATTGGAAACTGGGCTGCTCGTGAGAAAACCAGAGGAATTATGGAGGGTATGGGCCAGAAGAAGGTTCCTGGGTACAGTGCAATTTAACTTGACCGGAGAATCCAGATATCAACATCATCGGCAAATATAGAAACTTGCATCACTCTGGAGGAATTCAATATATGATATAGAGAAAAATTACCTTGGGAATGATATATTAGTGTATTCTCTAGAGGAAATTTTATTCCAACGGTGAAAAATTGCAACAGATATCCTGAAATGCGATACATTCACACTTCGGAATCACTATTTCTTTAGTTTCCACCAGTTTCTATGTAGATTACAGAATGACAACCAGAAGTAGGTGGTGTTTATCATTGATGCAACTGAAAAAAGTAAATAAATCCCAAAATGTAATCAGAAACAATCCAAAAGAACTAACCATTGAATCTGTTGTTCCCCACCAGCAGGTTTTATTAGAAAGTGGCCTCAAGTGATCTCGCAGATGGTCTTTCTTTTAACTAGTGAAAATGGCGATCATAATCATGTAATCTCGACGAATATCTTAATATATTGTAAGCAGCGATGTGAAGTTGATCTCCCTATAGTTGCTTTAAATTTTATTTTTCTTGACATGACAATCCCCATGAAAGAGTATTCTATGATGACAATACTTGTGAGAATTTGAAAATGTGAGTGTCATCTTGAAAAATTTGTTCACATGCGTTTTGCGATTTACTCCTCTCTTAACAGACTTCAGAATCGTAAAAAATAAAAATAAAATCAAAATCAATTTTATAATCCTCTAGGCTCTAATTCACACTCGCAGTCACCATCTTTAATTCTCTTTCTTACTTTTTCCGAATTTGTATTGCCTTTCTGACAATGCGATGAAATGTAAGTAAAAAAATTGTGAAATTGTGCTATGAAATAATATAAGTTACAAAATAATAAGAATAAGAAGAAGAAGAAGAAGAAATTACTCTCGCAGGAATTGAATGGGCTTGGTAAATCACCTCACTTCCATGGCGACCTCCCACCAACGATGACCTCATTCTCCTGTACTAGTCCAATGCGGATCATGCTGTAAAGGATGATTTCAATTTTGTGGATTACAGTTAGAAATAACGACAGCAACCAATGATTGACCAAGGAAACGAGCTATGCAGTAAAACTGTGTTTATATGATTTTGATAACATTCAACAACAGATTTTTAAACTAGCGAAGCTCTTACCAGAGAGGTTAGGCACCTCCAGGCTCCAAGGCGACTTGGCCCCACGGTTTGGTAGTTGTATATTTTTTTTTCACCTGTTTCTAACAGCAAAGGTTACTGATCAAAATTCTTGATGGCCATGTTTGAAGAACCGGAAGAAATAAATCACATCAATAATAGGACAAGACTGCAGAAAGCTTCGAAGGAGTTACTGCCCAATAATCGTCTCTTCAACTAGTATTATGCCCATATTTTTCTGCGAACGCATCACATGTTTGTGTCCACCTACATCATGCAGCTCTAGCTCATTGCTCGAGAGGGAAGAAACTATCAGCGTAAATCCATCGTTAAGCATTTCCCCAATGACCATCATCAATCATCTTTCAGATGACAAAGCTCTATTTCTTTCTGTGCAATTCCATGTGCATCATTGCAAAGATGCATGAACTATGCAAGAGAAGAAACTCTAGAAAGGGAGAAACCAGGATCAACATCCATCTCCATCAGGCTACAACCAGGAGTTTTCATCAGTCCTCTCTGTTTCATCAACTCTCTTACCTGCTTAACCTGACTCCATCTTCCATCTGAAGCATACAGATTGCACATTAGCACATAGTAACAAGCTTCACCAGGATGGAGATCTAGCATCCACCTGAATGCCACCTCTCCAAGATCAAACCTTGAATGTAGTCCACATCCATGGAGGAATGCACCAAACAAGCTAACATCTGGTTGAACCGGCATTTTCTGAATGAAGTCCAAGGCTTCCTCAAGCCTGCCAGCACGAGCCAATAGGTCAACCATACATGTATAGTGCTTCTTTGAAGGCACTAAGTTGTAGTCCTGACATATTGTACTGAAAAGCCTCCACCCCTCCCCAACCATCCCTGTACGGCTACATGCAGATAAAATGGATGTGAAGATCTCTTCATTGGGTTTCAAGTCTGCCTTCAACATATCACCGAAAACTGAAAGGGATCCACGACCATCGCCTTGAATTCCATAGCCACTAATCATTGCACTCCATGTGATAGTGGTCTTCTTGTCCATATTGTCAAAAATAACACGAGCAGATTCAGCATTCCCACATTTGGCATAAAAGGTCAAAAGTGCAGTGCCAGCATAGACATTAGAGGACAATATACCGCTCTTTACTGTGTAAGCATGAACAGAAGAACCAACTTGGAGAGCACTGAGAGTAGCACAAGCTGACAAGACACTAACTAGGGTGACTGAATCAGGCAAGACAGATCCCATCCTCATTTGGTGAAACAATTCAAGAGCTTCATATGCAGAACCGTTCTGAGAAAACGCAGAAATAATGGAATTCCAGGCAACCACATCCCTATCTGAAACTGTCTCAAATATATAAAGAGCCTCTCTATTCATTTGGCATTTGGCATAAAAATCCACCAAAGAGTTTGTGACAATAGGCTCCCATAACCCAAGCTTAATACTCAGACCATGAACTGACCGTCCTAGATTCAAATTAAGCAGCTGTGAACATGCTGAAAACACACTTGAAATGGTAACATCATTAGGCAAGAAACAAGCCCATTCCTTACGCAAATACAACTTCAAAGCCTCCTCAGGACATCCGTTCTGAGTGTACCCAACAATCATAGCTGTCCACGAGACAAGATCAATATCATGCAGCTCATCAAACACAGACCTAGCATCTCTAATGACTCCACACTTTGCATACATGTCTAGAAGAGCTGTCACCAAGTAAGAACCAAGTTCAATACCACATTTAATCAAGTATCCATGAAGCCACTTCCCTTGATGCAAAGCTGCTAACTTTTTACACGCATTAACTAAGCTCCCTAGTGTAATTTGATTAGCCTCAATCGACTCCTCTCTCATTCTATTAAACAAGACTAACCCTTCTTCAGCACAATTATTCTGTACATAGCCAGCAATCATGGAGCTCCAAGAAACCACATTCCTATCAAGATTTTCATCAAACATGGCGCGAGAACACTCAATTTCCCCACACTTCGCATACATATCCACAAGACCAGTTGACACAAAACTATCAGGATTCCCTAACTTGACAATGTGACAGTGTACTTTCCTTCCTTCGTCGATATTTCGAGATTCGCTACACGCCTTTAAAACTTGGGAGAAAACAACATTGTCACACTCTTTTAAGGACATTCTCATACAATTATAAAACCCAATAATCTCTCGAAATACATCATTCAAAAAATACCATCTGATCATCACTTTCCACGAAAGAAAATCCGGGTTAGGTATTGTATCAAACACCAAGCGCGCAGAGTCAACACGGCCAAAAGAACCATACAAACGAACTAATTTGGTGCTGCATGAAAGATCTCGAGCGAGGCCCTGAACAATGAGGTAAGCGTGCATTTCCACGAGAGTATTGATGTTATCGCAGTGGCCGTATAAAAAGTTGTAGCGTATTGGGGACAAAGGCATGTTTTGGTGGTGTACACGAAACTGAGGGGGTTGGTCTAAAGGCAGTTGATGGGTTGCATTGCAGAGATTTCTCCATCCAAAGTAGAAAGGTGTTCTGCAGATGTTTTTGTGTGACAGAGAGATTAGTTTCGCCATTTTTTCTGTTATATATAATTTGAGTTTGAGGTTCCCCGCCCTTTTTTTTTTTTTTTTTTTCATTTCTTCGGCCTTTGGATAGTCAGATCAGAGTATGAAACTGGGCTGGCGATTACTGCTATGAGTTTGGATTGGGCCTGGCAGAAGCCGATCCAATCACAAGTTGAATGCTAGTGAGTCCTCACTCGTAGAGGAAATAGGTTGTCTTGGCGATTTGTGGGTTTTGGCAGCTAATCAAAAGGGGTGAAAGTTGAAACTATTTGCAGTTATGACCCAGTTGTATGTATTGTTTTGTTTTAAGCAGAGGACTGACTAAATCATGGATTAAATGTAAGAGTGGATCGAAGGCAGTAAGATCAGGCGTCAAACTCCTGTTCCATGTAAGTAGTCGAGGTCTGCATTAAGTAAAATTTGAAACCAGATTAATTATTCGATGGATTTTTTTTATCTTTTAAGACATTCTAGCCACAAAGATTTAGAATAATTTCTCGTGTTATTCTTTCGGATGTATAAAGCGAAGATAATTACCTAAAAAAATTTTTATATACATAAAAACTTAAATCCAAAATTATTTATTTAAATAATTAAATCTTCTTATATTTAAGTCAATTTTCTTGAATTAGATGGATTATTTTATTTCGTGATGAAGATGTTCGGATTAATTTTAAGGAGGTGCAAACACCTGCTAATACTGACATCACAGTTGGATTGGTCTTTGGCAATAATGGGTTCAATCCTTCTAAAAATGAGGGAATCAATTTAATTGCTTTGGCTTGGAAAATGGTTTTTCCAAAAATATTGTAGCAGGCGATGCAAAGTCGTTGTTTGAAGTAGCTACCGCTGCTAAAAAGTTTTAGGATAGCGATGTAGATTTTGCTGGGCGTTATACTATTCGATTGGGTTAGGGGTTTTGAGGAATTTTCCGTTTCCTTGTGTTAAATTGCGGTAAAAGTAATTGGGCTGTCTATAAAGTGATATTTATAGCCCTTAGAAACCCTACTGGTTCTGATCATCCGCCAATTATACTCAATACTCCTAGGAAGGCTCCAACATTAGCTTTAGTGGGTTTTTTTTTTAATTAATGAAATTTTTATTTTCAAAAAAGGATGACAGCAAAGACAAATATTCAATATGCAAATTTTAAATTCTAAAAAATAAAATTAATATTCAACAATAAAATAAATATTTATTTTAGTGAATTTTAACGAGATTAAAAACTCTATTATAACTATAGCTTGATAAAAAAAAAATAACCCTTATTTTGCTTGATTTTGATAAATTTTAAAACTCTACTTTAACCTTAATTAATAATTATCGATGGCTTTACTTTGAGAGATCAATTCAATGATACAAAAGACATAAACTTTTAGATGATCACAAAAATAACAAAGGTTTAAGAAAAAAATTCTTACAAATTGTATTCAATAATTTTTATTATTCTGACTTGTTATAAAAAAAAACACGTAAAAGAATGTTTTTATAGCTTAATAGAATGACCTAAAAAAATTCTGCTAAATTTTTAAAAATAGCTAAAAGAAAATCCAAAAAAAAATACTAAACTGAGAATGAATCCCAAACAAAAGAGAATTTTTTTGCAAAAAAGTAAAATAAGATACCAAGTACTAATAATAAAAAAATAGACAAAAACTTGAAACTCTCAATCTAAATAATCGGCTTTCATAAATTCATCCCTCATGACACCCTTCTGTGTTAAATGAAATGAACAGTGAATTTTGAGAAGGAAAAAAAGAAATTGTTAGTAGATACCAGATGTCCAAAGTCAACAAGAATCATATTCAAATGTTTTTAATGTCTGTCCTCGTCAAAGGACAGGGGAGCTGATATTTTTATTTCAATTACGAAGGGTTCGCGTGAGGAGAATCTCACTGCATGGAAGCCCATAAAAAAATTAAGAGAAAGATAGGGGGAATAAAGAAAGAAAAAAAAAAAAACAAAAGCATGAGGGGCATGAATGCAATAACAGACTCTCAAGTGGATACATATATATATATAGTCCATAAAGGACAAGAAAAGGACAGATAAGTAGGAGGGGTAGCACTTAAAAGGCGGGTGTGTGTCTGGATGACGATTGGTAAAGAATAGTCATATGCAGAATATACGAGGATTATATTATTATTATTATATTTGCAAATTGCATATAAATAAAGGGCGAGGGGAAGGAAAAGACGAGGGAGAGTTTTGGTGAAATATGATTGGTGAAGAGAGCATCTAAATCTTGGAAAAAACAGAATTTTTTTTTTTTTTTTATAACTGGTAATCATCCTTTCCGGACACAACACAGAACAGACATCATACAATCAACAGCACGCTTCTGCTGCTGCGTTGCGTACAAAAGTTAGATCTTCTCTTTCTCCAGTCCCACCCACTAAGCCCCCCACGCGCGGATGCCTTGCGCGTCTATTTTCTCCCTAACTCAAAACTCATTTGTCTAACTAATGCAAAACTTTTTTCTTTTTTTAGTAATGATTTGAAGTGGATCTGATCTGAATAAAACAAAGAATCAGTTCATGAAATCAAATCAAAAGGCTATAATATCTGATCTAAGAGACCGTGTCCAATACTCCTCCCAAAGGTCCTTTTCATTTCTTTTCTCATTTATAAGAGATTAAGATAATAAAAATATTTGTAGACTTTGGTTTTTTTTTTTTACCAACTATATATATAAAAAAAAGATTTCGATGACTTATTACGGAAGAAGTGGCATTCATTCCGTTGGGCAATGCACAACACCATTATTTTTCGAATTTGCCAAGGTTGTTAAAGAGATAATATCATTAACAGAACAATAACTTTTACTGTTTATTATTTTGATCAGAATATCAGCCCAGGTGGGAGAAAATTCGAATAAAAATCTCTGCTGTTTCTATAAAAAGGTATGCAATGAGATAGAACGCATAGAACGGTTGGCTTTACAACAAACAAACAACATAACAGACAAGCCAGCAACCCACGATTGAAGGACGCTTTTGCCCTTTTGCTCCCTATGTCTATATGTACCTGAGGCATGACACATGCACCCAACCGCCATTAATATAAATCCAGGCCACTCAATTCTCTAGACCATGTTGGCCTGAAGATTCAGAAAGTATTCCCCCCTTATTTTACTGTGTACAGTTTGTTGCAATGTGCATTGCCTTAGATGTGTCATGTTGCTTGACCAACAATGGTACGGTGTCTTTATCCTTCCACGCATGAAAATCTCTCTTAAAAGAATACCCTTTCCCAAATTACTGGAAGTATCTCTACTCTAGGTATTTCCAAAAATTTATTTTAGATAGGCATGTTCCACTTGACCCAAAAAAAAAAAAAAAAAAAAAGAAACGAATGGAGGGTGGTAATTTATCCTTTCATGGCCGAGACTCTTCAGTGTGTACGTTCGCTCATTTTCTATTGATCTTTTTTTCGGCAGTCAATTCCATAATAGCTTACTGATGCGAACTCAATTATATACCATTTTCATTAATTTGATTTATCTCGTCCTAAAAATTGAATAACTTGAACCCGTGTCCTTTGCATCTGCAAAAGCAAAAGTCAATGGCCACCATGCTTTAGATGAAACGATGCACCCCCTTGAACCAAGGGCAATTTGAAGCAGCTAACACCCTAAACAGGATCCTGATAATTCACTTCTAGAATCCAAGGACTGTCCAACAAGTCAATGCGCAAACACAACTGAAGCAATGCTGGTATATATCCTGGAAGAAATCATGCAACATTATTTATGAATAATACAAAGTTGGTTAACACCCAAAGACGGAATCAAGGGGACCCCAGATTATGGGCTAAATGTACAAGGAATCCCCAATGGATCACAACTCAATCCCCAGCGCTATAGAAACAAACTTTCTGCTTCCCTCTATAAAATTCTGAATTGACAAATGAAAGTCTCTTCCCGTAATTAGGTTAAAGGTTGAGATGGCAGATTACCTGCGGGGCATCTTTGCCTGCGGGGGCGTCTGGTTGTCTTCCCCCAACCTGTTAGGTTTCTATCCTCCAGTCCCACTTCAATGTTATGAAGCTGCTGAATTAGTGGAGTGCAAGGTGGGCTTGCTGCCACCGGAGGCGAGGGGCTAACCAGCGAGCGTCGTCTCCCCTTGCACAACCATTTCTAGTGGAGTTTCTTCTTGTTAATCCTGAATGCCATGGATGACCTGTCGCTCTCATCATCCCTCCAAATGTTTGAAGATCTTCTGTTACCTCGTGTCTCGATAGTGAAGTAAGGCCAGGAAGGATGTCCCTCTGGAAGTCCCTCCGCTGCCTTCCTCTTCTTCCCTGACCCCTTCGGCTGCGTGTCGGTACAGGTGTGGTTCCTGTATCTTCCAGTTTCAGGTTCTCTGGAACCAAAGGCTTGGGCATGTAATCTTCTTCCTTGGTCTCTATCAATCCCAAAGTCATCGACTCAAAGTAATCAACTATTTCCCAAGATGTATCCATATTATCTTCACCATCTGGGGCTCTCAAAACAGCATCAAACTTGCTCTCAAGATCCTCTCCACAAGATGAAACTATCTCCACAAACCAATGTAGAGGGTCTGTCATAGAAGCATCAGGAGGATTGCAAGTGGCATCATCCAAATGATTCTGGTAACCAGATGATGAAATGGCAACTATTGCCTCAGCTGCGATTCTGATATGTTCATTCATCGGGCTTTCAGCTTTGTGCTCTGTTGACTGTAAAGGTACTTCATGTGCCATTTCTTCTCTGGAAATTGTATTCTCCTCGATCTCAGGAACTGCAGGGGCTTCCAAATCTATTCCTACAATAACCTTTGCCATGGAGCCTTGAACAGGAGGCATCAGAGAAGTTTCATCATCACTGATGCAAGAGTTCAAGTCAATTTGACATCTGAAATTGGCAACTTTTGTATCTGCTTCTTTTGCAACAACTGCATCTTCTGCTGTAGTCTGTTGAACCAAGTCTGGAACAGCTTGATCACAAGGTAAGTTTATATCAAGTACCCTACTTTTCTTGCTATTTTCCACTTCTTCCAATAACCAAGGAAGGGCCACAGAAGAAGAGGCGAGGGAAGAAGACTCATTCTTAGGAATAAGGGGCTTTTCAAAAATCGGAAAGCCGAGAATTTTTCTGCAACTTGAGTCACTACCTTGGATCCTACTGGTCTCAACAACATTAGTCGATCTCATGTTCTGAACAGCTATTTGATTAGCACCCTTTCCAATTTCACTTTTATCTGATAACTGATTCAGAGAAGATTGAAAGAAAGTTGATTCCCCAAAATTCAAATCCACCCCCTTGGTGCCCTCATTCTTACAAGCAGGCTTAGCTTTAAGCCAAGGTAAAGCAGCAAGATGATCCTCCTGCTTTCTTTCTAAATCTATGACCTCGATACCTTGCTGGTGCACCACCTTGCTAGATGAGCTGTTCGGAAGCACTGCATTCAAGTTCACATCTCTAGCAGACTTCAAGTCCATACAATTTGGACTCTTATAGAACTTAGATGAACTGTGATTGATGAAGAGCTCAGATGCTCCATTATTTGTACTAGTGCAGTTCCAAAAATCATAGTTTCCTGAAGGAGGACGAACCGATGGTTCCTTGGACCCTGATGAAGACCCATGGTAAAATCCATTTCGGTTGGGCATTTCACTTGCAAAGCTTGGGTTAGATGTAGAATTGCCGTTACAATTCCACTGGTCACCGAAAAACCCATGGCTCTGAGTTGATGATTGTGAGCTCCTACTCAAAGATGCTGACGAATTCAAATATGGGTGCATTTGAACTGACATTGACTTCTGGCTTAAGTTAACAGCAGGCTTCTCCCAAGAGGAGACAGAGTGGCACCAGGACTTGCCCACATCAGAGGGCGGACCAATAGGATATGGACTGGGTATATGAGAAGCAATAGCTGACTCTGAATAGTTAGTATTGGAGATCTCATGATTTCTTTCAGAGTTTTCTAAACCACGAGCTGTTCTCTCTCCCAACTGATCAATCTTGCCTTGATCAGTTAGAAAGAGAGATGGAGGTTCATGAGTTTTATTGAACAGAACTTGCATTGGCTGAGAAGAAGTAGGTTTTTCTGGCTGAAGATCTGGAGAAACAGAATTCAAGTTGTTTTTGCTGTGCCCTGCAAAAGGAGACAGCAACATATGAAATCAATAGAACCAAAGGAAACAATTGCAAGCACAATGCCAAAAATGCTAAAAGAAAATAAACCCCAGCGCGCTTATAGTTTGCCAAATAAACTTGCCAGTGGGTAAAACCATTTTTCACGTGGAACATTAGTTCATGACATGCTTTCTTTGTTGCTGTGTGCTTATTCAATTCTACACTCCACATTAAGAAAAGAAAAAAAAAATCAGTGCCTAGAACTAAATCCAAATTCTCTTTATGCCACCTTTATATTTGGTATGAGTTGTGGAACCTTTACATGCAAAAAACAGCAAACACTTTCTAAATATCAGTGCATGAGATTCACTAGCTCCACCATAAGCTCCACCATAAACAAATAAGCACTAGTTACAATAATAAAAGTTGGTGTAGTAAAGATTTTGAATGAATCCAAGGACCTAAGTGTTAATTTTGCAAGGAAAACTTACCTGAGTCAAATGTGTGAGAAAACCAGCATTTTCCATTGGCATTATTTTGCAAATGTGGACCATTGAGAGTCCCATTATCACTCCTGTAATGGAAATTTGCTGAAATTTCCTTGGGGAAACCTTGAAGCTCTTGTTTTGGCTTAGAAGCTAGTTCATGCCCTCGGCTCTCCACATGGGAGGAGGTGCAGCCTAGAAGATCAACATATGCAGAAGCATTTGCCTCGTCAACCTCAATAGGCTTGTTCAAGTCAGCCACATTAATTGGGCTTCTTAAACATGATTCAGATCTCGATGCATCTCCTTGGCAATTATTCTTCCCACCATTGCCAAGAAAAAGATTCATTTCATTCTGAGGTGCAACTTTATGATTCCTGCTGGACAGATAACTTGAAATTCCAGATGCATTTTCATCCCTTAATTGTTCCCCTTCTTCAGTGTCTATGTACTCATCAGCTGGAAGCTGAAGATCAAACATCTTTCTTCTCACCTTCGATGGTCTGCACTCAAGAATCTTCCCATCATTTGACGCACCACCATTTTGGGATGGCAAGGGACTAGCTTGTGCACTGCTTCCTTTCACAGAGCTCAGAGGAGAATGAATGTCTTCAACGGCTGATGCAGATGTTCTAGCACATACCGAATTTGCCAAAGGGAAACTAGGGATATGCCATTTCCGAGCATCTTTAGATGTAACCTGAGAAGCTAAGGGGCTTGACGAAAATGATGTCTCAACAGGTATCCGATTTCTAAGTAGTTCTTTCATTTTAATTTCATCCATTAAGTCCCTCTGTATTCTGTATAACCGGTGAAGTTCATGAAGCTGGATAACAGAGGAAAGAAAGAAAGTTTTAGGTTTGTAGCAAACAAATGGAATAGTGTACACATCACTCGACTTAATATGAGACGCACCTGTTTCTTAAATATGGCCTCATGCTCAAGCATCGTTCGTTTTACTGCATCCTTATCATTCCCTGGATAGGCATCTGCAATGACCCTAGGCAAGAAACCGTTGTAATACTGCCCATTTGAAAACGTTTTATCTCCGTAGAATAGGGGCCAGTTACAACTGTTAGAATCCTCATTAAGATCCCTCATTGAGAAATATCCGGGAAAGTAACTTTCACACTGCACTTTTGTTCCCATTCCTGGCAATCAGTCAAAGATGTATAGCAAATGTGAGATGCATAACCACTAAACAGAACTGTTATTTAGCAGCAGATATGAGAGCTTCAACTAGAAACATCACAGATTTTCTCAACAAATTTCTCATGGTAGACAAAAGAAATGCTTTTCATTGACAAAGGGTCTATCTTTGACAATCATGGTGTATAATGAAGACAAGGTGTCCCAAATTCAACAATAATGTCACAACCAACCCAAAACTAAAAAGATCCACATATGCAACATGCAATTACAAGATTGGCTCGTTCATAAATACAGGTATTTCACATCCATTGTCATAGCATCATTAGTGTAAATACTGTAATATATACAGGCATAGATCAATGGCTATGCTGCTTAATCAAGTTAAGTCTTGTTCTGATCAGCAATAAGAAAAGCAAACCAAGGTTCTTCTCGAAAAACCAGTACGCTATACAGGTTATTAGGCATCAATGCAATTAAGGGAGGGCGATGAGTTCAAAAGGTCTGTATACGACAGCAATCAAAAAGTTATTTCCTAAAAGTAGGAATGTTTATCTCAAATGACCATTAATATATTTAACATGAGATAAATCTGTGACCATATTTACGACAATGCAGTAGAAACTACAGATGAATTTCTGATTAGGGTTAGACAGAATGAAACTTTCACCACTTGCAATCTCTTAAAATTACCACCTTCTCCCAATTCCAAAATATCATATAAAAGAAGAAGAAAAAGACCAATAAGAGACTTCTTAGATAAGGAACCAAATAAAGAAAATATTCCGAATAAACCAAAAAACAACCTGTATTAGATCACTGAATATGCAATGGTTGCCCAGGACTACTTAAATTGGGAAACAATTAGGCAATTTCTAGGATCTGATTCATTTTGATTTGTAGATCAGTGGAGATGGCTGAGGTATATAGTAACGATGACCATCTCGAAAGCATGCAACTGTTTTTTCAAAGGTCATGCATGTCATGCCATAACCATAAAGAAAGGTTAGAAGATGACTACTAATAAGATATTCTCTTCAACTTGGGTAAGTCGCTAGTAACTTAATTTCCAGCCTCGAATGTACGAAGATAAAGATGGCTTCCTAATAAGATATTTATCACTCAAAGTCTTGGAGAGAACACAAGCAGTAAACACCTGTTCTTGCCTTGCCAATTTTCCTATGATATAAATGATCGCACAAACATAAACACAGATGCAGTAGAGCAGAAGTTACAAGAGACCAAAGAACCATCAAGACACAATGACAACACCTCATAAAGAATTCAATTTCAACTCATTGACAGGTCTCCTTCTTCAGTCAAAGCTAAAATGAATAGAAACCATGCAAAACTCTTCCCATCATTTATACCAAAGATAGAATGTTCTGAGCCAATGCAGCTAAACACAATCAAATAAATATGAAACATATGAAACCAGGGCATAATTGATTCATCACCGTCGACTCCAGATATCCAAATATCTACATGAAAACCGAAGTCCACAGAAATGATGGAAAAACCTAAAATAATGTAAATTTAATAAACCCTGTGATCAACAAGGACAATTCAAGCATACTCACTTCAATTTACTATGACAAACATATGAAAGCTTAATTAGCCCAAAAGTTAATACACCAGATCCCTCACTAATACAATATAAACTAACATTGCATATTAGCAAATTGCAGCAACAGAATCCATCATACAAAATTCTAAACTAACCCATCAAATCAAATTACCCATCAAAGCAATCCAGAAACACTAGAAAACTACAAATAAATACATAAAACCAAAATTCAGAGAAACACACACACAATAAAGGAAATAGAAAAACAAATTACAAGAGCCATAATTCCAACAATTTATCAGACTTAAAATCAAAACTACTTATTAACTAAATCATGAAATAAATTAAAACCCAAATAACCAAATCACAAAACAAGAAAAACCCATAAATCAAATTATAGTGAAACAAAGTGAACAAAATAAATATTACCTCACACCCACATCCTATACTCTCATCTCCTCAAGAATCCCCATAGATTCAATCATTCAACAGTTACCTCCACATCATAGACAAAATTCAAAGAGTCCAAGAGACTGACACTATCAAAACACACACCCAAGAAACTTTAAAAAAATAAACAAAAGTTTACAATAAGACGACAAGAAAAAAAGGTGGGTGTTATTGCAACTCCATTAAAGAAGTTTAGATCTTCTCTAAACTGAACAAAAGATAGGAAGATTTCGATCTACTGGGCCACTCTCTCTCTCTCTCTCAACAACTAAAACTAAAAAAGAAAAAAAAAGGAAAGAATGAGATTTTAATTTTAGTGAGAGAGAGAAAAGTTGTATTTTTATTTATGCTAGAGAGAGAAAGATGGAGAGATCCCAGATAAGAAATCTTTACACAAACAAACGACCTTCTAAGAACAGTGACATGAAATTTGTCAACATCCGGTCTCTTTTTATTCTCTGCTTTTTCTCTTCGCTTCTCTCTCACTAAACATTTCTATTATTTTCCATTCATAATAATAATAATAATATACTACTGGTGAGAAGTACTTCTTGTTTTGTTTTTTTAGTAATTTTATGGGTTTTTTAAGGAAACAAATTAAAAGAAAAGGAGAGCATTTCTAGATTCTCTCCACCTTCCTTGCTTTAGGTCCAGATGTTGAAAATATTATTACATTATATACGGATAATAAAATAAATAAATATAATTATTACAGACAAAAAGCCTGCATTGGCATTCCTCACCAACAAGCACAACCAACTTGACAAAAACAACCTTGTGTGTTACTCCTCACTGTATCACTATCTCTATATCCTTAAACTTAATCTAGTTGTTTTCTCCTTAATTAGGAATAATCAATTGGCTAATACACGCACTTATTTCCATTTAAAGCAGTGTTTAATTGGCTAATACAGCAGACCAAATAATAAAAAACAAAAAAGAGTGGGACCCCCTGATACTGTGAGAAGGATTAGGTATCCTGAGGTTTTGGGTCAGGTTATAAGTACCCTTCCATGTAGAGCATATTTACAAGATTGAATTTTCGATACTGCTATTGCTTGTTTTTTATTGGTTGATCCTTTTTGCTTCAATTATCCCGAGAGAGAGAGAGAGAGAGAGAGAGAGGTCAAAATTATGAGATTACTGTACCTCGTTAAACCCAAAAATAAAAAATAAAGCGATTGATTGCCATAACACGTGGCTTCTTTTTGCAACAATATCTAAGATTACATACCATGGGCGCTCAAGTCAATTAGAATGTTTAGTGGCTTAAAAGATACACTTTTTTATTACTACTGAGAAAAGTTAAGGTTGAGCAGTGTCATGATTTTATTACAGGCCACCCCCTCTGAGCAGCCGAGCAAGGAAAGGCCAAAAACCCAGAATGAAAAACCGAAAAAGTTTTTTTTAAAAAAAAAAAAAAGAACAGAGAGACTATTTTTTGTCTTTGTGCACAGCACCCAGCTTTTTGTCATCAAAGTTGTGTTAAATAGATGAATACAGGAGTAGAGGGGTTCTTTTTCTCTTTTTCCATTGGGAAGCAGTAGTTAATTTTTTTTTTTTTTTTTTTTAAGTTTGAAGAAATTGAAGAGGGAGATAAAATTATCATATACTCGCCTTTAATTCAGACTAAGATCTGCCCAAACGAAGAAAGATAAAAATTATTCAATTTTAAAATGGTTAGGACATTAAATTAAGGTGCCGGGAGTTCAAGTGCTCGGATTCAAAGTCGTCCTTCAAAAAAAAAACAAAAAAAAAACAAAAAGCTATATAAATCATTTAAAATTATTAAGTTATCAAAAAAGCCAAAAAAAAAAATATTGCATTTCAAAATATTCAGACAAATGGCAATGGCCTGTCGGAGATTGCGATGTTAAAATATACCTGGTTATGCCGCTGTACCCAAAAGGTGAATCTTGCGGGTTCAATACATTCAACAATAAACCCTAACACAAAACGACTAATTACTATTCAATCACTTTTGACTTATATTTATGTGCGTTATTAACTTGGTATTATCGTAATTTTTTTATGTGCATTGTTTATTGATATTATTATATTTTATCCATTGTTCGTGCATTTTGTTATTGTATTGTTGTAATTTTTAGTTTTATGTGTACAGTTAAAATGGCATTACTGTGATTTTCAGATTTTATTTAAGCATTTGATATGTAGTCTTAATAAATATAGTATTGTGATTTTTGATTTGTTATAAACTTTTATTTGGATTCTCTATTATTGTTTAATTTTTGAATGCTGAGAAAATTGAAGAAAGAGAAGAGAGAGAATGTAATGGTGAAATTCATTGTGAATTTAACTATCAATTTCGATTTCAATTTATCCATCTTAAAAAAAAAATGGTTTGTTTGTGATAGTCTGACGAAAGAGATCAGTACCTCAAAATATTTATTTAATTTTTTGAATTTAATTTAGATTTTTAAATAAGAATATTTTTGAATTTTTAAGTAATAATTAAAAGTAAAAAGTGCAAAAGGATAGAGAGAGAGAGATAATTGTTAGACATGTGAGTAAATCAGTACAAAGAGACCAAGAACGTGCAGCTTGAAAACACAAATATATGTTAAGAAGAAAAATAAAATAAAATACATGTGTCATGCTTACTTCTCTTTTATATAAATAAAAGTTATAGGAATCAATTTTATAGATTTTTTTATTAAAAATTGACTATATATAAACACACAAAACAGTTAACATTTACTACTTTTTAAAAAAATTTGAATATTTCGAAATTAATTTCTCAAAGATAAAATAAAATACATGCATCCTATTTACTTCTCTTTTATATAAATAAAAGTTATCATAATTAATTTTATAAAATTTTTATTAAAAATTGACCATACATAAACACGAAAAACACTTTAACATTTCACATGTTTTGTTCCATCTATAGCATAAGGTAAGTAATAAGCTAATACACACTAAATCATACCATATGATCCAATTACACCCACAAAGGCACGTG